CCTTGGAATGTAGAACTGGCGTATCTATCCAGTGTGAAACTGTCAGACTCGAATCCAACTTGCAAGTTGTCCGTGGCAGTGATTGAATGTTGGAATGCTCGGTCGCTAAGTAAGGTGGCTGTGAGATATTGGACAGCGTCGTCACTGCTGTCGCTTTTAGAATCCATGACGTGTTGGTCATGCGTATCATCGGGGTCTGAGTCAAGATCTGGCTCGTAATCGGCCAGGAAATGGATGTAGGCAGGGCCTGTGGTCGGTCGTCCACGGAATTGTTGATCGTGTCGCCATTTCTCTTTGGATTTCCGCTGTTCCTCTGGAGAATGCTTCCACGATCGACAGTCAGGGTCACTACAGATGTAACAACGTCTGGTAACGTTGCCATCTCGTTTACTGTATTGCTTGTCTTTCCGCCGGTGAAACTTGCGATCAGTAAAGTACTGATTGGTAGTATGCTGGGCGCTGTCAGCTGAGTCTTCAGAGGTCTGGAGTGATTGTCGGAGGTTTGAAGCAAGAGCTTCAAACGTGTGTGAAGGAGTGAATAAGGCGTAGTTGAATTCTTTGATACCACGGCAGGCGCGTTCCACAGCTGCAATCAGCTGTGTCTCACCTAGGTACGAAGGGCCAAGGGCACGTTGACAGAGTTGCAATTTGCCAAGGAGTGCCTCAAGGATCTCCATGCCGGTCTTGCCAGCGTTCTCAGGTCGTGCCTTCATGTTGATATAGGTGATTGCCGACCAATCGCGATGATATTGAGTCTTGTTGACTTCCGTGTCAAAATGTGCCTTGAGACGGTTATATATGTCTGAGAACATCGAGTGACGGCTGATATGGTGCATGAAGTATTCTTGAGCTGTGCCAGTGAGGACTTGGGGGAATACTGCGTGGAACTGGCCAGATTTGATGCCAATGGTAGAACATGTGTTTAGGAAGTAGCGTATCTTGTCATCCAGAATATCGTAGGGTTGTCCTGAATAGCAGTTCTTCTCTTTCCAGATCTTGGCAAATATTGCGATTGTTCCAGGAGCTAGGTCCTTGTTGGGTACTGGGATAGGGGGAATCTGGGTATATGGATCAGGTGGTTGATTCTGTAGCCATTGGTTGTGCTGCTGGTATGTTCCGAAGCCAGGGTCTGATGTGATAGCGATGTGCCAAGGATCGGGCATGAAGTTGCCGGTTGCATATGCCGTTGGGATTTGCGGTAGTGAGGGATTCCGGTACTGGGCTAGATTTAGATCTGGGGTAGTCTTTTGTGATACATGTTCGGCGGTAACAGAAGGAATGTCATCATGAGAATCAATCAAATCTGGGGTATCAGCATTGGGAGCATCAGTCTGTGTAGCCATGCAGACATTAACGATTTTCCAGACATTTGGGTGTGGATAAGTAGTTCTTGCTCTATCAAGTAAGACTTTATCCCAGGTTGGGAGGTCTTCTGCGGTGACAAGGTTGGCAAGGGCGTCTGCGATAGAGTGGTTTGCTTTGCCTAGGTAGATTCCTTTGGAGTTGAGGCATTTCCTGAAGATGCCTTGTATGGTGCGCTCAACCTTCTCGAAGTCTGTCTTTGTCCAGTTCTCAAAGTCCATCTGGAATGTCTCGTGAATCTCGAAGGGGACGGGCGTCTTAGTATTGTTGTAGCGATCGATACATGACAAGGTGTACGAGTTGAAATGGGTATCCTCGCCATATTCAAGGTCGACTTGTTTTCCAAATTTGATGCGATCAAGATCAATGAGGTCAACAAGGTTGACATGTAGGTTGCGGTCGCTGAGATATCGTAGCTTCTTATCTCTCACAATGTCTGCAGGGTCTTGAGCGACTTGGATTTCGTTGTTGCCATTACTGGAGGCCATCTTGTCGGATGTACTCGTGTCGGATATACTTGTGTTGGATATGGGCGTGTCGGATGGGCGTGTCGGATGGACATGTCGGATGGACGTGTCAGATGGGCACGTGTCGAATGGGCGTGTGGGATAGGCGTGTGGGATAGGCGTGTGGGATGGGCGTGTGTCAGACGGATGTGTGTCAGGTGGTTCTGTCAACAATCTGGCATGTGTCGGATGGGCATGTGTCGGACGAGCGCGTCAGATGGATGTGTGTCAGGTGGTTCTGTCAACAATTTGGCATGTGTCGGATGGGCGTCGGATGGATGTGTGGGGGAGGGTTCTGTCAACAGTCTGTGCTGCCGCGCGGGGATGTGAATATTGCTGTGATTGCAGCGTAATCTATTGCCTTGAGTCGCCTCTGGAGGAACGTTTGCAGTAGAAAACCTCGGATCTCGTGCTGTGCCTCGAATCGCCTCTTGAGGAACGTTTGCGACAGAAGATCCAGATCTTTGGCTGTATCCCGAGTCTCATGTCAGGAACGTTGATACAGTAAGACCTCTTCTTTTCCTTGCTTATTTGTGTTGCCTTGGGAGACAACACTGATCAGTGTTGGAACAGGCTTGAACGATCAATCATAATACTCGAGTATGGGGTCAAGGTCATGATGTTGCTGATGGTTGGATTGGGAGGTCTAGCTGGACCTGAAGGTCTAGCTAAGTGACCTCGCAATCCGGTATCTAATCACTTATCTAATCATACATGTGGGTCCTGGTATAGGTGGTTTGCAGGCTGGAATTGCATGGATCCAACATTTATAATAATATTAATAATAATAAAGGCTTTCTTTTACTCGTTTATAGTTTTAAGACCTAAAAGTTTATCAAATTTACCCGATTACTTGAAAGGCGTATAAAGAAAATATAGCGTTTATTGAAAACGGTTAAAAATATAAAATTAATTATTTTGTACTAGCTATTATAATAAATGTGACGGTGTACAGCCGTATCTGCCTGGATTGATGGATGCTGAGTCATCAGGTCACGTGTAGATTAGATAAGGAAGGAACGGGACCACCACGTAAGGTGTGTGCTACGCATACCACCTTGCTGGCTCTCCTTTGCTTCCTCACCTTGTTATTTTCGGAAGAAAACACCAGGATTCCCACACAACGCCGCAAGCATCGTGGTAATAAATCATAGTCTTATCGTTGCTAGAAATAAAGCGCTGTATTTCTTTTTTTTAATACTAAAAATTGTTAAATTTCGATCAAGTAGGTCGTTTAATTAGTTTATTCCTAGTATTTAAAGCGTTAATATTAGCATTAGTATCGTCTTTATACGGCCACACAACCTTTAAAAAACTGCTTTTCAAAATATTAATTTAATTAACTTTAAAAAACTTCTTTCTAAGTAGTAATAAACTGACGTATACGGTTTATGTCAGATCCATGTGATTCCACAGTCAAACCATCCATGCATAACCTACATGTATGATTAGATAAGAGATTAGATATCAGATTGTGAGGTCACTTATTCAGACCTGCAAGTCCAGCTAGACTTCCCAATCCAACCATCAGCAATATCATAACCTTGACCCAATACTCGAGTATTATGATTGATCGTTCAAGCCTGTTCCAACAGCTAATTTCTATTTAATTTTTTAAGTAATACTTTTAAAATAATTTTTAAAGTAACCTGTTTTAATTAAAAAGAAGATCGAGGCTAACTAAATGGTACGTACAATATTTTATTATAATAAGGTATAAGCTATTCATAAATGTTCTTAACTCGGGAGTTAGTAATATAGCTATCAAATAGCGGGGCTTTAAGATAGCTTAAAATAATATTTTTAAAACTAGTACCGTTTTATCAATGTTTTTATTTTATATATATTAACGATCGATCTTTATTAAAACGTTGAATTAAGCTAGGTTCTTTAAAATAAGTTTTCTAATTAAAATAAAAAGCAAGTAGTCAAAAATATTAAAAGTAATCGCTTTAACAAGTTTACTTTAAAATTAGTCAATATTAAAATATTCATTTTAATTATTATTATTTTTCGGCAATTCTCTTGGTAGTAGTTATAATTTATGATTTAACGGCGGTTATATAAAGTTAAAGCTTTACGTTAAGTTAACTCTACGCTTATATTTTAACACGTTTTTAAACCTCAGCCTTTTTTATTATGATTCTTTTGATCAAAGTAATCTCTTAAATAGTAGATCTTTTTTTAAAGTTGGGTTTTAAGCCGAAATAAAGGAATTCTTTTTAAATATAACGAGGTTTTTAAGTTCGATTTCAATACAAATCGTGAATTTTTTTTTAAAGATTAAAGATAAAGATAAGGATAATTTTTGAACTTTATCGTAGTCTTGGATCCATGCGATTCCAACCTTCAAACCATCCATACCAGATCCACATGTATGATTAGATAATAGATTAGATACCGGATTGTGAGGACACTTAACCAGACCTGCAAGTCTAGCTAGACCTCTCAAACCAACCCATCAGCAACATCATAACTTTGACGCATACTCAAGTATTATGATCGATCGGTCAAGCATGTTCCAATACATAGCTTCTATGAAACGATTTACTTATTATTATAACATTTGTTATAAAAGAAATTTACTACCATGATTTAAAAAGCAGGATATATCGTATATTTTCATAACTGATATTTATCGATGAAATATCGGTAGATAGCGCTATGTATAAAGAAATTAATTTTATTATAAGTTAAAAAAAATTCATGATAAGAAGATAATAATATTTTATAATTTATAAACGGCAAGTTATTACATCATTAATATTTAATAAATAAAAATATTTAAGTATAAAACCTTTTGTGTAAGTACTATAATACGAAGTATCGCTCAGTATACTTTTAAAAATATTTAATGTATAAACTATTTAACCCGATATACCTCTTACTTAAATTTTACGGTGAGATACTTTAAGCCGATAATTATTACGCCCGGAGATAATGATTATATGTTAAAAAATGATTATTAGACCTAATAATCATTATTACCCTTCACATTTCCCCGTTACGGTAATTACTAGGCAACAGCAAGGCAGCCAAGATGCCAGTATATACATATAGCCTCCTAGCATGCATCGTGCCCCAAGGCGACTGCTACTGCTCCCACCGTCTCTCGCAACCCGATCCCGATCCATGACGAGGAGTTTCACCTCGCGCCGCCCCTACTGGACCCGTCACACCGCGCACGCCCAAACCACCATGGCGCCGCGAACCTCGATCGACGAGCTCAAGGAGCTCCTAGAGTCCAGCACCCGCATACTAGCCCTCTGCGGCGCCGGGCTCTCGGCCGCGTCGGGACTGCCGACGTTCCGCGGCGCGGGCGGCCTGTGGCGCAACCACGAGCCGACCTCCCTCGCGACGCCCGACGCCTTCGAGGACGACCCGGTGCTCGTGTCGCTGTTCTACGCCTGGCGCAAGCACATGGCGCTCAAGGCGCAGCCGAACGCCGGCCACTTTGCGCTGGCGGAGCTGGCGAAGAGGAGGGAGGGCTTCCTGTGCTTGACGCAGAATGTTGATGGTGAGTCTTGCCATGTCATGTCATGCCACCTACATATATCTACCTATACACCGTCCACCTGCTTGGTTCTAGGTCTAATGGGAGGGTGATTAATCAATTACGTCAAGGTTTGTCCCCTCGCGCTGGCCACCCCGCCGCGCAGCTCCGCCATCTCCACGGCAGCATCCTCGACGTGAAGTGCTTCGAAGAATGCGGCTACACCGAGCAAAACAACCTCTCGGACCCGCCGTGTCCGGCCCTCGCGGCCGCAGCCGCGGACTACCCGCCCGACCTGACGCTGCCGCTCCTCGACCCCAACGTCCCCACGCCCGAGATCGACGTCGAGGACCTGCCGCACTGCCCGAACTGCAAGAACGGCCTGCTCCGCCCGGGCGTGGTCTGGTTCGGCGAGGCGCTCGACGAGCTCATGCTCATGGAGGTCGATAACTGGATCGCCCGCGGCAAGATCGACCTCATGCTCGTCATCGGCACGGCGGCCGCCGTGTATCCCGCCGCGGGATACACGCGCAAGGCGCAGAGGAGGGGCGCTGTTGTGGCGGTCGTGAACCCGGATGCCGATTCGGCGGAGGGGCTTATGCGCAACGACTTCTTCTTGCAGGGCGGTGCGGCGGAAATCTTGCCTAGGTTGTTTGAGGGCGTTATTGGGAAGATGGATGCGGATGGGAAGATTGTAGGGGCCTGAGGGACTTGTTTGGCAGTTCTGGCTTACTTTGTGGGGTATAGTATATACTTATATAGGAAGTAGGTGGCTTCACTGTTGTGTTGAGATAGGGGTCCATGACACTGGCATCAAACAGGAAGTGTCCAGACAAGTAGCGACAGACCTGAATTAAGAAGGATCAACAATATTACAGATAAGGCCCAACAAACTAGGTAAATGTATATTAGCTATAAGGATAAACAATTAAAAAGCGCTTATGCATATACCTAGGTAGATTAACGTTCACGGGATTCAAGAAATTGCACATCCCTTGAACTACCCCCTAATTGTCATTGATAAGAGCTGGCCCCAGCAATGCCATAATTGCATCGGGTGCAATCGCAACGTCACTGGCGAATATCTGGCTTCTCTTGCCCCTGTTGCCATGCATCCTATCCTACACTGTCTGATTATCTCTAGTCCTCGTCTTATCTGCCGTCGAGAGCCTCGTCTGTCTGTCCCACCTGCTCACGCAGCGAATGCTTCATGTTACACCCCCAAGTTGCTTTGGGCAGGGTCTGTATAGGCGGCCGTTGTGGTGTCCAGGATGGTCAACCGTAGCGGCTCCATTCTACTTCGGACGCCAGAAATGGTAGAAATATACATCGCACGCCCGTTTTGGTCGATGATTGTATATATTACTTTGGTATATGAAGCGTCATACGATTGTCAATTGCTCTTGTGAACGTTCTAGCAGGAAGTCTACTTTCTATCAGCATATAGAGACGCTACGTCTCAACATACTGGATATATGTAGGTTGTAAGCCCTGGTGGAGAGAACATGACAAACATAAAAGTCGTCCGGTCCAGTTGTAGATCACGAGGGCTCTGCATGTTGGAATGACGGGGAGATAATTGTTGTATAATGGTAATATGATATTAAGTATCGGGTATATCTAGTAACGGTCATTGAATGCTCATTGAAAAGCAGCATATCTCTTCCCAACAGCGGTACCGTTCCCAATACTCGAGTCCGTGTATATCGACAAACTGTCAGTGGAGTTATCATAATCCACGCCGCAGGTCGCAGAGAACCCCTGGAACATGTCGACGCGCTCTTGCAGGTAACTCTCGAATCCGCTTCTCGAACAGCTCGTTCCCGGCCCATCGGCACAGGCCGGCAGCGGCTGCGGCGAGCTGTTCACCAGGACGCGGTAGTACTCTCCGTCCTCGTAGCCGTAGCTCCCGGTGCAGTTGAACCGCTCGATGGCCAGGTTGCTGAGGAAGGGCAGGACGTGGGAGCTCTTCCAGGCGCGACGGTAGTTGATCCGGTCAAGGGGCATCGTGTCGTTGATCGTGGCCTCGCTGCCTCCGAAGGCGGAGTTGTTGAACAGACCCATGGCGACAAAGACCATGGGCGGCAGCTCTCGGTGCGTGAAACTGACGAACAGGTCTTGGTCCTTGTCCTCGTTGTTGAGCAGCAGGTTGGCAGTCGCGTTGAACCACGGCAGACCGACAGCTCCCGAGACCTGGTTGCCGTAGCCGACGTTGTAGTGGTACTGGATGTCGGAGGCGTACTCCCAAGCCAGCCAGTCGTCCGGCGTGAACAGGTCCAGGTCGCAGAAGGGCGAGCTGCCGCGGATGACGGACTCGTAGCCGCACAGCTCCATCATTCCAAAGACGTCGTTGGTCGTGAAGTTGAACTTGGGCGCTGCGGCGTTGAGTCGCGCCTTGATCGGCTTGGTGAAGATCTCCATGTAGACCTTCGACTGGTCGCTTCCAGCCGAGGACGAGTACGCCGGGCATGCCTTGTACGGCGTCAAGCTGTCGGCGCCGGATTCACTGGACTCGAAGATGCTGACGACGTTGATCTCGTTGTCGTCGGTCTCGAGGCCCCGCACCAGTGATTGTGCCGACTTGTAGGTGCGCTCGGCCGACGAGGTCCACACTTTACTCGGCAGCTTCATGCCCGGGTACCGAAATGAGAGGTCAGCTCCGAGCTGCGCGGCCTCGACTTTGCCGACGCGCGTCAGCATCTCTATCTCGGCATCGGAGATGGGTGCGGTCCAGCTGGACAGGAAGTTGAGCGACGGGATATGGGTCCAGGCGATGCCGGTGTGGTTCTGCACCTTCTGGATGAACGGCTCGATGTACTCTTCATAGTCGAAGTCGTTGGCGTAGATGGCGGCGTGACGCACGAGATAGGCGGAGCGTTCTGCTGTGCATCCTTGCGGAGCGGCGGGGGACGAGGGAGGATCTTGCGGCTCAAAGTAGGGAGCGACTCCGCCGAGATGCTCGAGGGGGTTGAATGTGTAAGTCGAGTAGAGCGATGCCGCTGAGGCGGTTTGCGCCGAGGCAGCAAGAAGCAGTGCAGCCTGGAGCCACTGGGGCAGTTGTCTAATTGTCGAAGCCATGGCGATGATGTTGTCGTGCGTGAGAGTCACAATAACGAGAGACCTCAGACCGGATGGGGATTCATTATGTACTTTATTAGGCTCTCCTACCTCACCGATCACATCACCGATGTGTTTAAGACTTTAAGATTTCAGTGACTAGGCAACCCAGCTTGCCAACTTTCGGCAAGCGCAGGATGACGATCTATGTGGTACGATCTGTGTAGTACACGGATACCTCCTCGCTGCCTCGATACAATCTTGGAGGTTGGCGAAATGAGGCACGCTTGGCACGCTTGGCACGCGTCTGGGATGGAGCTCTCTGGCGTCATTGTTTATGCTAAGCAACCACTAAAAAGCTTGTTGCCCCCCCCCCCCACACTGTGCCTTGTTCCTGGATTTATTCCCAGTCTTTTCTAGACCCCTCTGCGGCCTCTGCGGCCTCTGCCCCTGACCGCCCCAACCGCCTATGTCCACCGAGCGCAGAAGAGCCGTGATATCCAGCTTGGCACCCAGGCAGCCAGGCATACGACGGACGAAACTCTCCTCCCTGTCTGCCTGTCCTTTGAAGAGTCCCGGCTTGAATAGCCATAGATCCGAGATGTAATAAGAGGTGACGATGTTTAGTATTAACTTGTCTGACATACCTCAGGTCATCAGGTCAAGCTCAGACTCCAGGCCTCTTGAATACTGGTAGCAAAACGATACGAGATCGGAGCCGGGAGCTAACCGGTAGCGCGAACCTTCGCGGGATGTTTCTAGCCCAAAGACTCCAAACTCTGATCATAATAAACTTCCCGAGCTCATCCTATGCAGGTCAGGTACTCAGCTGAACATGTAGCGCAGGGCTGCTAGTTGAGGAGAATTGCGGGGGTTTCGAAACTTTATCGGACTATCGCATATACAGGAATTGGGGCTACATGCGGATCTGTCTAAACAACCTCTTCCACGAACCGGAAGGAGTGTTTCGATCAGAGAACCTCCCTCTGCCCTATGTATTCTCGATATCTCATGAATGAGTCTCTAGGAACGGGTTCTATGTTCCGGATGGCTTCATATGGGGGTCTCCTGTCAGGACGGAGAATTTATCCAGCCTCAGCGCCGATGTAACGGCAGCACTCGCTACCTCATCATCCGTATACCGAAGTTGAAAGCATGGTCTTAACTCCAGATACAAAATAGGGAGGATGCCAAGAAAGTAGTCTCAAGCTTTCTGAAACTCACTGGTTCCAACTTCAGACAGAGTTGTGGTACAGCAGTTGAAGTACAAACTCAGACATGTTGTTCCCGCAAACACTCCTGCTGGCATGGCTCGGCATCGGCCCAGCCTACGCCAAGCTGGAGGGCTCCGGGCCCGGGCTCGGTCGACGACAAGCCGCCACCCTCCCGGACCGAACCCCGTTCGGCTTCGGGTCCCAGGCGACCGGCGGCGGCTCCCCGGCCGCCCCCAACTCCACGTACGTCGTCGACAACATGATGGACCTGCGGACAGTCCTGGCGATGGACACCCCTCGCACAGTCTATGTCCAGGGCGAGATCATAGGAAGCCAGATCAACGAGACGGCTTTTGGGAGCTGCCAGTACTACATCGACTCGAGCAATGTCCCCGAGTACAACTTCACGCTGTATATCATGGCCTATAATACAACTTACACCGATTCTGTGAAGGCTGCTATGGCCGCTGATCAGACTTTCGAGGGCCGGAATGCGACTGAGTACCTGACGCTTTTGAACCATCAGAATGTAAGTTATATTTGTTCGGACTCAACTGATGGTGCTGGTCAACCAAGACCATCTGCAGTGGGATGGGGGCTCAGAGCTAACGGGTGAAATCCAGGGATGGCGCGGAACGGCCCAGAACGTCCAGAAGTCACTGGAGTCGATCGACGCGAAGGGAAACCTGACACTAATCGGCTCCGACTCGGCCGCCTACCTAAACGGCGTCTCCCTGATCTTCAACACGCGCTCCAACATCATCATCCGCAACCTGCGCATCTCGCCTCCGCGGGACTGCTTTCCGGCCCCGGAGACCTACCCCAGCAGCTGGAACGCGCGCTACGACGCCATCTCGTTCGTGACCACGACCAACGCCTGGCTCGACGGGAACATCCTCGAGGACGGCCCGCAGCCCGTGGCGCCCGACGACTTCATCTGGGGCTGGAAGGTGGACCGCTACGATGGGCTGTTCGACGTGGAGGACGGCTCCGATAATATCACGTTCAGTCACAACATCGTCGCGAATCACCACAAGAGCATGCTGTGGGGCGGCGGCGAGAAGGAGGGACCGCGCGATATTGGGAAGATGAGATTCACCGTGTTTGGCAACCACTTCGTGAACTCGTCGAGTCGGAACCCGCTGATGCGCTTTGGGACGTTCTATGTCGTCAACAACCTGTTCTCGAATTATCAGAATCAGGAGCCCTTATTTGATTACATTAACGACGATGGGGTGGAAGCGGTGTCCACAGGTATCCGGAAACGGGATGATGCTTATGCGCCCGATTTCCAGTATCATTTGGGCATATACAACATGTGAGTAGAGAGGCCTTCATGCTGCTGGTCCGATAACGCAAACTGGGACTTCGTATTGACTGTTGCAGGTCGTCCGTCCTGGTATCAGGCAACTACTGGGACCAAACCGGGACCGACCCCAACGACAAGACACGCTTCTTCACATTCCAAAACCTCGCAACACCAGATCTACCCGGCACATTTTGCTCACCCCCAGACCTGTCCACCGCAGACGCCTCTACAAACTCACAACTGAGCAGCCTAACCCAGCCACAGAGTTCTATCAACGGAGTAGGGCTCAACATGACAGACAACGTCTTCCAGACCTTTGAATACTACCTCACTACACACGACGACTCTGTCCTGGCTGGTTTGGTTGGGAGCTGTGAGAAGTTTGCCGGGCAGGATATGCCGGTTAGCTTCGAGACGACGGAGGAGGTCTATGAGTATGTCAACTCGAATGCTGGGCAGGTGGGACGGAATGTGCCGTGAAGTACCATACCTACATTCTGGCGGATTGTGTCTGCTTAGATACACATTGGTCTAGGATTCTGAATGATGGATATGTCGTCTGGACTAGATACCCCGGCATAAAGCAGCCACAAACCAATACACCGCCATGATTGCTTATTCCGGAATGCCCATTCCGCGGATACACAATGCCCCTGAATCAGGACGCTGGAAAAGGGGCGGACGGAGGCTTCTAGGGGCCACGGACATACATACATTATATAAAGAGCGAGTATCGTATTCGCTTGATTGGCGACGCTGCATAACCATACCCCCTGCGCCTGTGAGCCGCCAGCTCTCCATGATGCCATGCCATAAGCGCTAAATGATTGCAAGATGTGTACATGTAGCCAGACATATCGAGCTCTTTATTGGAGCTCCAGCTCAATCGCAACTGCTCGCCGGGCTTTGTCCCTCTACCAGCTGCCGTGTAAGCTCATCCCAGCCTTTACCACCCGTCCGCATGACAAGGTGGGTGTTCATGTCAGCGGAGAAGTAGTTTTCTCTCCTAGTGCTCGCTCTTGAGCCGCCTTCCAGAGCCGAGTACGCGCTCCTCGTGGTGCGCGATCGCTTCTTCGCAGGCTGACCGCCCTCGCTGAGGAGGTTGCTGCGGATACGCCGTTGTTGCTGAAGACGTTGGTCAAATGCAACGATGCTGCGGACGTATGGAGCAACATCCAAGCTGATCGTGGTCATTGTTCGTTCGAATACCGACGGTTCCAAAGGCCCACCAGCCAAAGTCTTCTCGGATGCTGCAATGGGGTCAAACGCCAAACCGTAATCTACCCGTGAGGTGGGCAGTTCTACGTGCAGAGTGTGGTCAAGATGCTGTTCGATAGTTTTCACAGCCTGAGACTCATCAATGCCTTGGAAGGGTGGTTTGGTACCAGGGCACGACCGATCTGCTTGCAATCGTGCTCGAGCAAGGCGTCTAAGAGAAGTAGAGATATCCATCGCGGTTGTATGGTAATTATGCAAAGGGGTTGCTTCCAGGAGCTGGCGGCCAACGATGAAGTCATCTTTGTTCTTCGCGGGTATGTTGGGACTGCCGGGATCCAATATGACCTGATTTGAGGAAGCATCTAGATGCGGTCCGCAGATGTCCGCATCACTCATGAACTCCGCAAATGCATCAAGGGAGTTCACGAGTGCAAGCCGATCTTCGGCAGCGCTTTGACTGGCACATTTCTCAGCCCAAGAAGTGAAATCGTTAGACTTGCTGGAGTCAAGGATATCGAGGCCCCAACAGTTCCACGTCTGCCGTTGCAATTCTTCCTCGCTCGAGCATGTTGATGATGACGTCGCGACAGTGGCATCTCGGCTGAGCCAACCCATGCCCGCGTGGTAGGTATCCTGACTGACCACCCGAATGGTATTACCTTTCTCATCAACATCACTGCCCTTTGGCCATCTGGGGTAAAACCAGTCGAACCCGCCTCTCATGTCACCGACCCCTATCTGGCACCAATAGTTAAGCTCTGTGATGGAGGCACGAAGGTCATGGCCACGCGAGTCGTAGAGTGTCTCGATCGGATGCCTGCGAAGCGCGTGTCCCTCGTTCGCGGCAATCAAGAGCAAAAGGTCGACGGCCATCTCCTTGGGTGGGGCTGAAAACCGAAAGATGCCGTGCAAGGTCAGAGCCTGTAATGGGACCAAGGTCTCATCGTTGCAAGTCATGATGAAAGGCCGTTTCGACTGAGAGATCAGAGAGATGACAGTCGCCCAAAATTGCTTGTCCTCCTCGTAGAGGATGTCGACTTCCTCCAACAAGATGAGAGATTGCTTCTGGGAGTTGCTTGGCTTCTTCACGTCCTTTGGCTTGGTAGGTTCTGCTGCAGGTGCTTGAACAAGCTTCTTGCTCTTGTCGACTTTGGTGGGCTTGAGCTTGAAGAAGGATGTCATCGTGCCTTGCTTGCCGGATTTCAGATCTCGAGTAACCTCATCTTCTGCATCCTCGTCTTCGACCTCTTTCTGGTGATGCTGGACAAGATGGTTTCGTGTCATATCCCCAACTTTTTCGAGGATGTCCTTGCCACTTCGTCGTGCGCCGGCATTGATTTCAAATATTTCGAAGTCAAGCTCTTTTGCAATGGCATGGACTGTTGCTGTCTTGCCACATCCGTGAGGTCCACTGATAACCACGGCATTCGTCAGACGGGTGGTATCTTTGGATCCTCGAGAAGTGGTGCCGCCAGATCTCAAGACTGTCTTCTTTGATATACCACGGCTTCCGTTTGGGCTCCAGTCCTTTTCGGATTCAGATAATTCGTTCATCTCATCGGCTTCGTCGTCGCTTGAGACAACGAATCCGTCAAGCTTCTTCCGCTTGCGTGTCTTCTTGGCCGGTGTGGCCATCTTCGATTTAGGCCCGACATCCAGCTGTCCAGTATGAACTGCTTGAACCTTCAATGTCTGTAGCCAATTTCGTAGCAACTCTGCTTCCGGGCCATGTTGGACAATGTGATCGGCGGACGGGGGCGCATACTTCTGGGGCCATGCAGTGGTCTCACAAGTCGCCCTATCGAAAGCAGATAAAGAAGTGCTGATTGAAGCGTATGCCTGAGCAATTGCTGGGTGTGTCTTTGTAGCTGAATGAGCTCCAGTCCATGTCCGCAGCTCACCCAGCACCCTTTTTTGTAGTTTCATTCCGCTTTCGAAAGACCTGATCGGGATCCGCACCAGTGGGGAAATCGGGCGAAAGTCATCATTGTTAATAGATTTGAGCTCCTCGACCTTTTCACGAACGTCCAAGTCAAGAGTAATGTGGTGCATGATACTCTCTTCCTCACTCAACTGGACTTCGTGTCGTTTTGCCTTGCGAGCTCTTGCCACTATTGCTGATGACGGTTTAGCCCCATCAGTCGGATATTGAGATGTGTCGCCGCGTATGTGGACCGCTCCGGACCAAGGCCATGCCGGGTGTTGTGCCCCTGGGACTTTCAGCCCAGCAGCTTTTGAACCAAAATGAGGCATGTTGAACTTTGGAGGAGGAGCTCGTGCCCGTCTAGGAGAGCAGGGAGTGGAGGTGAAGATCGTATGTCGCTTGGGTGGTGGCTTGCGCTCGTCCTTCTGCTCCTCTTCCGGGACAGCTGCATCCGCTTTGGACTTCCCCTGGAAGAATGGGTGGGTTGGTTTCTTGGGCGTCATTGACTTCTTCGGCCTGCGTTTCTTAGGTGTAGTTGTCTTTACCTCCTGACTCGTCGAAGGTGGTGTACTGGTAGTCATTTTGGAAGTATTGTGTGTGGTATGCCTGCACTGCCCTAGGAGAATGTTGTGGATGTGCTGACCAATTCTTTCTCGCACCTGGTCGTCACCACCGTAGTGAATAGATATCAGAAGGGTCTTTCGCGGTCGACCACGTTTTCCAGTTGCGGTGGGGGTAGTCGAGTCTGCTGGGACATGAGATGGAGATGGTTTGGGCTTTGGCGGAGAGCCAATTGTGCCAGTCTTGGGGTTGAACTTGAGCAACTTCAGTGGCTTCGATGTGGCCTCCTCCCCTTGGTTCTTGTCCTTCATTGTATCACTGGTGACCGGGTCGGGCGTTTCGTTCGAAGGCAAGGGCGGGCAGTTCTGTTCGGATGTGCACTCCGGCTTCTGCTGTTGTTCATCGTCACCTGGCCGAACATCAACTTGTCCGCCATCCTCAGTCTTCTGACCAAAGTGATTGAGGATGCTGTTTCCGGTCGAAGCACGAGAACGGCGTTTGGCTTTGGGGCCTCTCGACGCGTCTGGTGTAGTATCTGTAGGTGTATCCGTTTTCCGGCGCTTCGGCTTCCGCTTGCTGTTGCTATCGGATTTGTCCGTGGTATTGCCCGTGTCGGTCGTGGGATCGTTTGATTCATCGGTTATCGGATTGCAGGAGGGTTCGGGGGTGAACGGAGCCGCAGTCTCGGTATTGCTCTTGGGTAGACCCTGCGGTGCGGTAAAGAATGGATGTAGCCTTGCGGCCACGGCCACTCCGCCGTTGTTGTTTGCGCCCATGGTGACGACGCCCTGAATCAAGCCCGGTCACAAGCAGCCGGAGCAGCAGAGCAGCATGAGGATTAAGTAGAGCCGCCGATGATCATACTGAGATTGGAATACGAAGGTGAAGATTGAGAGACTATCCAGTCAGAGTACTTGGGTGGGCGATTGAAGCTGTTTGCGACCTTGCGGTGAAGCGAAGATGCACATCAATGGAGTACGCGCAGCTTCAATTGTAATAATGAATGGGAAAATGCGCCGCGGTCGTCACCAAGTTCCAAGTGGAAGTCGCGTCTGACAAGCGCGTTACCGTCCACCCGGCGCAACTGCCCGTCACGTACCTGAAGAACATTGTATGGGGCCGCAGTAGCTGGATGAATTGCACCTCTTAAGCCGGTGTACGGGACGGTTTTGGCTGCAAAACTTTAGGTCCCATCTCAGTACTGACAAGCGATGGGTACTGGGCCCACTTCAGCAGCGGGATCCCAAAACATAAAACCCAATTAAGAGCGCAGAGCTGGCCCCACGCACAAGCTCCGACCGCCGATGGTGGCAGGGTGGGCTCCCGACTTTTTTTTCTTCGTCTTGCAGCTATCACCTGTCCAGCAAACCGAGGACATCCCACCGCAGCTATCCCACCGCAGAGGAGGCGCATTCCGAACAGCGGCAGCTACAGTCAATCGCAAACCCATCATGGCTTCGCATTTTCAAATTCAGAAGCCTTACGTGCTGACTCCCCTCCCCCGACCTCTTGACCCAAGTACTGGCCGCTATGTTGTCGGTAATGTCTACGGCTCCACGCCCGGGTCGAGGAAGCGGAAGAGAAGGCATGAGCTCACCTTGGGCATTGACGGGGAGGCAGTCAATATCTATGATGTAGGCTGATCTTATAATATATTGTTGCCATCTGCTCACCCTCCACAGGTTTCTTCCGCCAGGCTCGTGACATCTTACCCAATACCTCCCCAATGTCGCATCTCCTGTCCTATACACTCGATTCGACAAAAACTGCCAGGGACGAAAGCTATTGCGAGGTACACATACGCCGCGATAGACGAATCTCCCGTCCAAAAGATCACCCTGTTCAAGGATCATGTGGATGCTTCAGGAAAGCCAACCTCGATTACCCAGTCGACATCGCTCGGCTCAGGTCTACCAATTGTGTCGCTCACGACTGTAGTATCGCCCAACACACAGCTCGGACCTGGCGATTCCATGCCACACGAAGATCTTATGGCTGTGAGAGAAGATGGAGAGATCATATGCTTCGATTCAGAGAACTTGCAGAAGAAGTGGAGCGCCAACTCTACAGCAATGCAGCAAGATCTCGCCGAGGGAGCTCGAACAAACTTTAAGGTGCAATTCTGCCGCGCCGTATCGACCGCAGATGTGATCAAGGGCATTCTTAGAGGAAACAGCGAGGCCTTTGGTCTTCTTTCTGGCTCGGAGCATGGTCAGACTGAGGATGCCGAAGTCTTGGTCATCGTCTCGAGTTCCGGTCCCGCCAGCCACCCATGTCGACACCTACATATTGTCGGCCTTCACGAGCCGCATCACGGCTCTCTCCAGACACAGCAAGGCATCTTCCAACTACATGTAGTGCCTATCGTACCTCCAACAGAACGATCAAACAAGCCGTGTTTATATCACCTTGATGCGCGAACCGGGACTCTACTCGAATTGCAAAACCAGACCCTCACCATTCACGACATGGCTGAGAGCATCCCCAAAATAACCGCGACTATGAGTCTCGAAGGTGCAACATCATTCTTGCACCTCAGCAAAACTTCTCTCCTTTGCTCGACCAATACTCAACTCAACGTCTATAACCCAGTATTCAAGTCACTTCAGGAGACTGTGGACGTTGACCTCGAAAATCAGGCACAACCTGCGACGGAGCCCAACAAAGCCGCTACTGCTTGCCAACTGGTTGCCTTCTTCTCCAGACTGGAGCTTGCCATCGCAATCGTCGACTCTAACTTAGTGGCCATTCAGCTGGAAGCCCCAGCGCAGCGGAAGACCAAGCGGCGGGCTGAGGGTCTCCTCATTGACTCCATCGGGCGTGGACTGAAGACATCGAAGAGGATCTCGACCCAAGAATCCCGAAAACCTCCCAAGGACTCAGTCTTCTCCAACTTGCTACCAGGCTCAATTCGCGGAGACTACTGGCAGCAATGGACCGCGGATGAAACAAAGGCTGATGCTCTCCTGAACGCCAATAAAATACACGATCTTGAGGTCTTCCTGGCTGAGAAGTTTGGTATACAGACCAAAGAGGACCAGCGTCCGGATGGTACGAGCCACGATGGTGCACCTCTAGAGTATCCCACATGGCTATGGCCCAAAGCTCGCACAGGATACCCCCCATGTGATCGGCGGTGGATCCTATATGCGATCAGTCGAGCTTTCAGTTGGATCGATGCCCTCCCTGGCGTTGCAAGTGTCCCGCGACTACTTTGTCAATTGCCACAAAGTAACATCGTGAACTATCTTTTGGACGCTGGGCACATGACACTGTCCAACGTGAAGGCAGCCTTCAGGGGCAAACTGAGTGGTCCAGAACAAGCCGACTCTTTCCTGGCCGAACAACTTATCACACGCATTGCCGGTCTCGACCCAACCTTGGAGCTTACGGTTACATATCTCTCGGCGACAAACTTAGGGGCGGTTGAACTGCTGATTGTTGTTCGGACAATCATGAGAAGTCTCGAACTAATGCAGAATCCCAAAGAACCTCCGCCGAAGCTTCTCACCAACGGCTCTGTAGAGGAGCCACTGAACGAAGATGAGGCAGTCGATCCGGAGAACATTGGAATGGAACTAGACGACCTCGAAGACGAGATTCAGAAGACTGTGTCGTATCTCAACGAAGATGCCGGTATCCGCGGTACTGGACTCAGCGTGGCTTTTGCCAAGCTTGGTAGCTGTCCCGGCATCTCTATGATCAAGGCACTGCGCACAATATTCAAGCCCGAGGAGATCCTATCACTTGTGTACATACTTCGTGTCGAGCTCGTCAAGGGCGCATGGACGTCGCGCTACCTCGACGACACCGAGTTTGAGAAAGACCCGGCTCTTGACGCTCCACCTGACGGGTCTATCAAGCTCATAGCCGATCTTCTTGGGCGCTGTGTGGACTCGATCGGGCCCGGCGGGTGGTTGCTTAACGATGCGATACTTGCAGGTGACGATGCGGGAGATTTTGTTGCCTCGCTGAAGCTCGAAGTCAGTGCCGCCCTGGAAGGTGTGCTGGAGGCGGTCGGTCTACGAGGCAGTGTTGGCGAAGCGGTGAAGTTCTGCGAGTTATCTCAGAAGGCTGTGACGGATGACTTGAAACTGATGAAGCCAATCCCTCTTCACGTAAGAGAGTTGGGTGCGGAAGCATTGCCACTAGGGCTCAGATCATCGAAGGTCTCATCTCTCAAGGTTGTCTCGGGTGGTGAGATCGTAGAGAGATCTCAAAGGGAGACGGGCCATCTGGTTAGTCAACAGGTAGGCTCCTACTCTCTGGAGAGGATCGCCATATGAGCCTGAAGGAATAAAATTGGGCGTATCATTCGAGCGGCGCATGCATTTAAGTTGCTGAAACTACGTTGTCCAGGCAATATTTACTATCTGATGAGCAATGATACCAACCTACAATTATCTACCTGAGTGGCTATGAGCTTCGAACGTCTCAATCCATAGCTAATACCTTGCTTACTGGCCACTCCATGGTGTATGTTGGCCCCCATCATAGGAGGATGACTCGAATTATCGACACGACAGCAGCTACCCCGCTACCCCGGCCACAGGTAGCGGCCCGGGAATGCTGTAGTCCAGCTACATACTAGCCATCAAACTCCAAACCACCACGCAATGCACGACGGTGTCATCTATGCTCCCTATAGAGTAACTATGAATAATGTTGCGCCTCGGAACGATCTCCTCCTGGGCTCGACGTGTCAACCCCATTTATTGGAAGACTTGGACGTTTCGACGAAATCAGAGTTTTACGTACGCAGTTCAGAACTACGCTAAACACCTCAGCATACGAGAGCAGGGAACCCTGAAAATCCGTACGAAGCTAGACAGCCTCACGATGCCTCATGAATGATGACTCTACCTAGAACTCTTAACCTGGATATCCCCGCATGCGCTCGCTCGGTCGGCTCGGTCAGCTCGCTCAGTCAATTAACCCGGTTTCTAGGACTATGTGTCAGAGCAGAGCCTCATCAACACGCCGAGCCCTTCCAGGCCCCTCCGGCCGTCCGGATGGGCGGTGGCGGCACTTCGTTCAAGTAATCAATGGCAGTGCACATTTCATCGAACTTCAATGGAATATTATGTCTGCTGACCACGGTTATACACGGCATGTCATACCGCGGTGGCCGAGTTCTATCGAAGTTCGCCTGCGCCTCCCCCAGGACGTGGGGAACATTCGTCCGTATTACCCGGTTGAGACTCTGTTTGGTAGCCTGTAGGACTATGAGGGTATTCTCGCTGGATTTATTCTGGTGACGGGTGACCGCAGAGTAGGACTGTGGCGGGAAGGGTGACCGTTTAGCCCTTTTGTGGACAGTGGCACCAAATCCACGGGTTCGACATGTACTCGCCCCAGCTCGAGGTTCGACAGCAGAGCTTGATGAGACGACAAACACGCAGGCGGGGTTGCGGTCAAGCAGTTGTTTATTTGCTTGCCTGTCTGCTCCTGTCGTGTTTCGCGGCTCGCCCGCCCTCGTGTGATGGGCACGGATGGGCTGAGATGAACCGCGGGTCCCGGGGGACGGCCGGAGGCGGGCGGATGGATGGATGGATGGATGGGCGGACGGACGCCGACCGCCACACGGAAGTACGGCACGCATGTATGTACCTTATGTGTCCTTCCGTTTGTACGATGTTGTGCCTACTCGTCGGTAATACAAGGCAACAAGTTTCGTGTTAATCCATATTAATGTCAAGTCCGTGGCGTTTCGTTGCACTGCCCACGGACGCTACGATGGCGGGAGCCGAGGTGGTGATACCTACCGTATTTTCTGGGTAAACTGAGCCCGAGTCCCCTGTCTAGTGCCAGTGGCTTGCGTGCAAGCACCAGCCGCATCTATGTGTGGCTTGATAAGAGATGAGCTTGATCACAAGCCACTTGAGGCTGGAGAGGCTCCTTTCTGCACGCGAGCCACTCGCGCTAGACAGGCGGACTCAGGCTCAGTTTACCCAGAAAGTACGGTAGTTTTCGCCTGATTGTCGTGTCAGCTGCGGGGAGAAGCTTCAGGTTGAAGATATGAAGCGCATAGGTAGTTCGCGAAATGCAGACTGACCTGTCACCTCCATGCTACAGGCTGTTACAGTCGGTATCCATGTGCAATCGCTTCGCTCAAATATTTGGGGGTTTTAATAAATGGGCATATGATGTGGCAGTAATGCGGTGCGCTGCATGGCAGCAGTGGTACCGCATCGCAGCATGCCATCCCTAGCTCGCACCATCAAACCGTCTATCAACGGGCGCATCCAATGATTCTCCCACGATTACCTATCTGTCATGGGACAGCCTGCAGAGGAGGCAGATGATGTGCAAAGTGTGCATGTTTATCTGCTGCAGTACACCGTCGGTCACCAGAAATGGAAGATGGGCTGCTATTTTCGAGATGCAAGTGGATGCATCTCACAGCCTCGTCGGGTCATGTTTCACAGTTGGAGCTTGATTGACCGAAGCTCACGTTCGGGAGGGCTGTGAAATGTCGGCTCCTTCCCCTTCCCAAAAGACGAAGGAACCTCGAGTGAGAGCCTTCGCCATCTGATACAGCAAAGCTGCGAACCTTCGAAGTGTCTGGGCATCCCAAGCGCTGCGAGGGCCGTTGTTTGCTGCCCGTCACGAGAAGGGAGCCATCGCATCTCTCGTGCGGCATCTACCGTAGTGAGCAGCATGAGCAAACAGGTCCATCGTGACATGTTGATGGGCCACAGATCGAAACGGCATTGGATGAATGGAGCCAGTTGGACCCTTCGAGCATATCGTGCTGCCGACTACTGTATCATGTATGCATGTCAAACAACGACTTATCTCTGGTTCCTCTGGTAATAAATGGGTGTTGTGAGTCTTGAATAATACCAACAAATCATCATCAACACGAAACAATCCATCTGCCGAGGGTAGCCTGCATCAGGAAGCATTCCTCTGGTGAGGACGCCGCCGCCGCCTGCATCATCGCCCTATGTAGCAGCAATATTGACACGCACTGTCAGCCAGCAGCATCAGCATGCCAGATCCCAGATCCCACCAACACCGAGGGTCCTTGGGGTCCTGCCGCAAATAAGGGGACGAGGTGGAGTCGTCGTCAGTTGACCCGTGAATCGAATTCCTCCGGGAATTGGGATCGATTTCACATGACCCCTTTGCGGATCATCAGTCAAGACATTGGAGTCTGGAGAGATGATATGTACCAGTGTACACTATGGGGTAGAAACAGACAGAGAACCGAAAATGCAACGTTCTGACAAGGATCACGATCAAAAAGGGGTGTCTTCATTGGCCGCCCTGCCACTTCGGATGCCTGACGGTTCGTGTTATGATGACATGCCCTAGTCGATCAATGATCACCACGCGGTCCACTACATACGTCACAATCCTCCCCAATGCCATTGGGCCACCCTGTCCAATGCCACCCCGTCATCTCTTCATTGATGACATTCTTGCCGTTCTTCTGTCCTGGGATGGGGGCGATGCGATGGTTGGTTACCAAAGAGACCAGAGCATTACCTCGCTCGTCCATACCGTCCATGATATTCTGTGCAGTCCTTCTCATGTATGGGAATCCCATGTGCCGTGCCTACGTGTAGAATATCTTGCAAGGTCTACGCAGCATGGTGAGATTGGTTTATATATGCTCTGATGAATCCCTGTTGTCCGTGCCCCCGGTATTGTGTAGTACGAAGAAGGGATGCAGCCATCTCGAGATCCAAGGGGGCGAATATCCTCTCCAGACCTGGAGTGCAGGAGTGTCGATGATAATAATAGTTACCACACTCACCACGCACCCGATTCTATGTTCCTTCTGTCCCACGCGGCGATGGCAATTTTGATCCTTATTGCGTACCACCCGTTCCATGTGTCTGTGTCTTTAGCACGGCCCTGACGCCCGTCGACGACATCTGTGTTCCCCCGGGATATTGTACCCACGTACCTTGGAGACAACTTACAACATCATTGATGACATGTTCCTATTGTGTGCTTTGACTAGCTTTCCTCACAAACACAACACTACAACGCCTACACAAGTTCAAACCAACTAGACACGGGAACTACATCGATCAGACCGAAGCTAGGCCTTATTTACAAAAATCTATCGCTTCAACGTTGCCCTAGTCGGTCTGTTTCGACGCCAAGGCGTGACATCCCGGAGCACACACCTTTCCAGGGCGAGAGCTGAGAGGGTGCCACTACCACACACCACATACCACACTTCAATGTTCGTACCCTCGTCAGTCCGCTGCGACGATAATCACAGCCCCCCAACCCGACAGCCAAACCGGCGGCTACGAGTCTGGGACACACAACCACACAACCCACTTTAACTCTGCAACGGTGCCAACTTTATACCACAGTACTCGCCACGCAATTCGACTCCAGACACAACTTCACAACCTCGACGGGACGATCGCGCGGATAGTACGAAGTGAAAACCACAGAGCTGGTTTCGTCCACGAGAATCGGGACTCTGTTCCCACCCCATCACCATCACAGTCGCTATGACGGCCACCTTCCAGGCGCCGCCGCCGCCGCCGCCACGTGCGTCATCGTCGACCGTCGAGAACATCGACAACGTCGACGCCTTCGCCCGCAAGCTTTACAGGCGCGCGCGCAGCGCTGGCCCCGACTTCGAAGAGATCGCCGCCGTGGTCCGCGGTCTGCACACGGTACTAAAACACCTGAAGGTCGAGGCCGAGGACCCGGAGTCGCTACTCAACGCCGACGGTAGCAACAGCACCTCCGTCTACGTACGCCAGCTGACGCCCATCATCGAGGACTCCGATTTCGCCCTGAAGCAATTGGACACGATACTGGGAAGATACTACGCGCGGGGAGCAGCTATAAATGGAAATGCCAGCGTTGGTAGCGATGGGGAGAGTGGTGTCGGCAAGGCTATAAACGACGGGGACAAGGGCTGGGTACTGCTGGAGAGCCGCGAGCGCGACATGATCGAATTGATCCGGACGAAGCTGGCGAACCAGAAGCTCAACATCGACATGTTTCTCGACACCGTCCAGCTGCACAACCCGGCCAAGTCGCGCCAGATGGTCGACACTACCAGTGCCAACCTCGACTCCATCAAGGACAAGGTGGACGCCATCGCGTCGCGCTTACTACAACGCAAGGACTCAAATCTTGTGAGCGAGAATGAGGATGAACTATGGGAACAATTCAGAGACGCACTGGAAGCGGACGGTTTCTCGAGGGATGTGCTGCGGAAGAACCAGGTAGGTCATCTGATCTGAGAGGTACGGTGCGCCATGGAAGATACTGACTTGCAGCACAGGATGTCCTACGCGCGTACATACGCCAACTCGACGAGCAGTTCATGGCGCAAGGCGGCAGGACCCCGTCCGTCCGAGGCTTCCTTGAGAGCTACCACCCCGCAGAAGAGTCTGGGCTGCAAGTCGCACCATATCCAGCGTACATGTATTCGCAACCTGCAGAACTGGATTCGAAGGAAATATACAACCCCAGCGTTGAGAACGAAACATTCTTCCCTTCAAAACACATGGAGCGGTTACATCACGACGAGTATCCGCCTGCGCCGTCTGCTCTACGACAAAGCCATACTGGGCTCTCGTATGAGCATCACTCGTCTGATGATGAAAATGACCCAGCAACAGATGCCATGGCGCTCATCTCGACGCGGGATCTTATGGCTTTAGACAAGAGGAGCGCCGACCTTGCCATCGCGATGGACAGAGTGCACTTGCATCAGCAGCCGCCCTCCGCGTATGCAAATAACTATACTATTTCCGGCTCACCATCAGTCCGCTATGTACCGCCGTCATCCTCGCAGCCCGCTCTCCTGTCTTCCTCTCCCACCACCTACCCGTACGACCATACTGAGGGCGACGCGGTCATAGACCAATACGCCTACGACCACGCTTCGCCGCGCTTCGTGCCCTCATTACCTCCTCCACCGCTCGGTAAAAGTGATGGTAGGCGGAGTCCACAGCCAACGCTTCGTTCAAATTCCATATCGGCGCCCTCCGTCATTGGGGAGGTACAAGCTTTACCACCGCCTGTCCTCCCACCGCCAACCTCTTCATCATTACCCCAGCAACAGCAGCAAAGGTGTGCGCGCCTCCTGCCCGACAGCCAGGGCCGTGATATACCACTAGAGGCGAAATGGACACGCATTCGTCGCAGCCTGGTGTCTCCCGTGGTACTCGCACAGGCCGGCGTACGTTACGAGGCACGGCCTGATTTCGTGGCCGTCTTGGGCGCGTTAACCCGCGAGGAGATCGCCGAGTATGCAAGACGCAGCGCCGAGATCAGGAGCGGCCGGCGTCAATCTTTCCTGGGCGCGCCTGCCTCGATGGCAGCGACGCCAAACAATTCCGTCGGTGCTCTCCCTGGCGTTCGTGAAGAATATGAAGGCCATGATAAAGATGAGAGTCTGAAGCGATCATTGAGCAGAAAGGACCGTAAAACTGAAGACAGATACCATCCCGACAAGTACCGCAATTGGGACGTTATCGAGGGACAACAGGAGGGTAAGGGGCCGGGCTACGTGGTTGACGCGCGCGACGAGCGCCAACGCCGTCCGCGTCGTGGCGGCCGCACAGATAGTTCGGTCAGCGACCTTTATGACTCCAGCGACGAAGAGGCATTGGACGAGGGCAATGATGACCGGGAGCCCTTCCCGGCATACCCGGGCTCCATTCGCAATTCGTATCCGCCATCAGCGGCAAACCCGGTCTTGCAGCGAGCGCACTCGAGTTCCCAGCCATACCATCACAACTTCTCGTCCTCGCCAGGCAACAACCCGAACCGCATGCGGACCGACAGCGGGCTCGCGGACATCAGTTCCAACTCGAGCTTTGCATCCGGATCCGCATCTGACGACGGCGTTGAGCAGAAGGGCACCAAGGTCTACCCGTACATCGTTCCGGCGCCAAAGGAGGGGGCGGAGAACGCGCGGATGAACGGGGCTGCGAGTCCCGCGGCAACGGTCAAGCCGAAGCCGATACTGAAGAATAGAGGCGATGACCCGCATGTACGCTTCAATCCCGAGCCCCAGGTTCTGGACGAGAGTGTCGGGTCTCTGCCGCGGAGCAGTAGTCGGCGAGACAGAGACAGAGACAGGGATCGCGAGCGGGAACGAGAACGCGACCCTCGGGAAAGGGGAGAGAGCCTCAGCCACCGACATCGCGACCGCGGTGACAGTATACGAGACCGGGAAAGAGAGTCACACAGAGACCGCGAGAAGCGCTACCGCTCCGACCGCTACCTCGACAGAGAGCAGGAGCGCGAACGCTACCCGGAGCGAAACAACTCGGACCGCTACCGGGAGCACCGGCATCATGGTGGTGGTGGTGGTGGTGGTTGTGGCAGTAGATATGCAAGCGTGAACCCCAGCTCTCGACGCGGCGAGAGGGAGAGGGAGGACTATTCTGCTCCGACTAGTGGCAACTCGAGCAGTCGTCGCAAGGACGAGCGCGCTACGCGGAAACGTACCCGCGGAGATACGCTGCGCGCGGTGGGCATTGGGGGTGCGGCGGCGAGCCTGTTGAGCGTGCTTACTGAGGCTGCGGCTGGTCTGTAGACTTGGGCTGGTCTCTTGTCATTCTTTGTTCTCCATCCAGTCCACTTCAGGACCGGGGCGTTATCATCATGATCATGGCTTCTAACGGGATAATGGTCTTGGATATACCTCATCGAATTGGATTTGTCTGCATGGGAGTTTCATTCGCTCTCGCATGCATCATCATCATCATCATCACCCCTATACCTACCTGGTGTTTTCGGGGAGTTGTATCGATGGAGTTTCGATGTTGAAACGAGGGTAATGGATGGGTGTATGTATCTTTTGTACCACGACCATGTAGTTGAGGATAGTGGGCGGTTGCGAAAATGATGATACCCCGTTACTTTCGACTTTTTGATCTTGTTCTTGGTGGCTTTGTGGCGTAACTTTACCGTGTGGTGTGACTTGCGCTATGAATCGTTCTCTTGCCGTGACAATCTTGACGATGCTGTCTAGTTGGTTGTCTAGGAGGTCGTGTTGTGGTGCTGGCTTACTATTACTACTGCTCTCCCGAATAAGCGCGAGCATCATCGGCGGTGTGGGTGTCGCAGTCGCGTCGTTACCGTCATGCTGAATCTCCTAAATCATTTCATTCAAGGCCGTGGGCCGTCGCCGGTTTTAACTTGCTGTTATAATTGCCGCTGTTTGATGGTAAAAAGTCACTACTGTACATTGCGAGAAGATTTTCCGTATCTTCGACCACGATTATGTTTGAGTATTGGTCTACTTCATATCATGGACATTCTTTCACACCGGCTGTTGTTAAGTGCGGCCCTCGAGCGTGTATCGTTTTGTTTCGTTACGGTTACCGATTAAGCAAACGAGGACAATTGGAATTATATGATTAATGCCGAGTTAGGCAGCACGAGAGCAGACACGGTTATGGGTCGGTTATGGGTCGGTCATAGCTCGGTATGGTTAGGTACATGTAAGACTACCTAGAAAGAGTTGAAGCTATCACGAGATCGAGGCATTGCCGTCGGTTAAGCATTTGCCGCTGTACGAATGAGGGCATTCGCATCCCTTGCAGAGGGTCACCACCACAGCAACCGCAATGCTGTTCAGTTGAACACAACACCAAATAATAAATCGCTGAAACGGAAAGCTTACTTACCATAAGTAGTCCAACCACAAAGCCTCCGTGAAATCAAAACAGACTCAAGCGCGGGCTCAGGAGAGACACTACCGAACCTTACGAGGTCGCGTCGGACGTGGCGGCCTCCCTCGCTATAAAATCCAGCGTTGGTCCGCAGGCCTCTCTCTTCTTTCCTTTCTGATCAACCGCGGAGTACAACATCATCCATACAGGTCACAAGTCTCTCCCCTCAACCTTCGAGTATATCCACATATACCACCATCCGCCAACCATCGCACCGAGGCAGGGACAGAAAACACCGCCCCATACAGAAAGCGTTGCCATATTCCCGCCGCCCCTTTCCTCCCCCTGATGATCACCACCATGGCCAGCCAACTCACCTCCGGCGGCTATCAGTCACCACAACCTATCTACAATGCGCGCCTTCCTACTCCTACTGGCCATCGGCACGGCCCTCATCAACAACGCCAACGCCGCACCAGTGCCAACACCGCACCGATGCCATCCCCACCGGTGCCTCGGTGATGGTGAAGAGGCAGGTCCCGAGCCCGTGCCGTAGCTGCGACGCTTCTGGGTGCCCGGGCTGTCATGGCTGAGCTTCCGGTAGAGGCATGCCCTTGGGTACAGACAGGCTGGACTATGAAGCAGGCGAGAGGAGTGCGAGAGGAGGAGCTACTTACTGGTTGTAATTGAAGAGCGGCTAGACAATACGAACCCATATTGAGCCGTCAAGGACCTGATAACAATCATTCAGAGTGAGATCCTTGCACCCAATACTAGAAGGGACCCGTTACGCATTGCGGCCCGTCCATCTTACGATCCCGACCAGTGCACTAAACACTCACGGAGAGGAACGGGACACTGCAAGCCGGAAGCGTCTGGCTGCGATGGGTATGTGACACATGTTGCCCAGCAGCGGCGAGTGGTAGCGAACATTGGGGCGCAAGGCCACAAGTATGCAAACAAAGGCCAAATTTTTCAACCCGGGTGTAATGGTGCAATGGTAAAATATCTATAAAAACCAGTGCGCTCCGCATCGATCTACACCTTGCGGGCCAGATAATCTAGCACCCTAGAAGGTCTTAAAGATGGTTTTCGTAGCACACAGGAGCCTATCGGTTCGACCCCTCCTGAGTGTGAGCTTTTTGGTATTTTTTGGGTTTTATATTTATTGCCCCCTGCACGTTTAATGATCTTTTAAATATGTTTGCAGGTTTATCTCGGGGTGTATAGCAGTTAAGCGACGCCCCCTCCCTGTAGAGTTTAAGGTTGCAGAGTACCTAATATAGAGAGGAAGCAAGCTGGTAAATGCAGCACGATCTGAAAGGTTGGCGGGAAGGTCCTAAGCAGTTGTTCATGCCTGAGGTTCTAACCAGCACGCCTCGAATGACGAGTGATGGTCGAGTGACGCGCTCTTGCCACGGAGAGCCCAAATGCCTTGCACAGACAAGACAGCTCACGGAAGGATCACTTACTCCTGAGGTATCATGTCTAAAGCGCCCCCCGCAGTTAGATTCTACATAACTCAAGGCACGTTTACCTGCCAATGACTATGTTGGACACAGGCGTTGTAGGAAGTAGCCATTGGCAACTTTCGATCGATCTTGCCTGGCGTTTATCACAGGGTGCTCCAACATATTTGCCCCTGAGCAGTCCTAGGCTGGTGCCATCCACGATAATTTCCCCACGCCTGCTCACTTCTCCCCACGCCTGCTTCTCTTGATGGTCAACAACTACGATGTTCTTTCCCTTCACTGAACGACTCGTCACAGACTCTGCCACGCCTTCCTCTCCTCTGAAACTCCCCAAGACCTGGCGACCTATTTAAACGCCCATCAATTTCAGACCTCCCTCCTCTTCTCTCTTCTCTTCTCCAGCATGCTTACCACCACCAATATCCTTATCTGCCGAGCCCCGTCCAAAGTCCAACATACACAGCCACGCCATTGTCCATCATCCCGTTTCTTCTCCAGATTCCCATCTTCCGTCCTGCTCCAAGTCAACTCCGTCACGCTCCGACTCATCTTTCCTCCGCATCCACCGTTTCCGAATCCGACAAACCCACGACAATCCCACGCCATGCTCTCCTCAAAGTCATACACGACCGACAAGAACATATCGACCCGGCTCCCATCGGGCAAGTCGGCAACCCATCATGGGTAAGCCTTCGTCTACCCCCCGTTGCCTCTGTCCTTCTGTCATCCTCCTGTCCGCCCTCCTGTCCGCCCCCTTCTCCATAACATTGTTGCCGATAGATCAGTTCACTAACCACGTCTTTCCACACAGCAATTCGTCAGAACCAGCACTGCCTTCGGATGGGAGCGGGTCCAACGGTCGAGGGGCCTCAGCATTGGAGGGACGTCATCCATCATGCATTCGATGTCGGTTTCGCGATTGCGTCGAGGAAGATGTTCAGTCGGAGGTGACGAGGCAGAGATTTCTGAAGCTTGAACGACAAGTGGAAGAATACCGGAAGTCTAATGGGAATTGGAGAAGAACGGTCTCGATGATGGCAATGCGTGTGATGGCACTTGTGGTAGTTGTTGAGACAGGGCTGGGCATCGCGATTCTCTTGGGTTGGTGGTGAGCATTGTATTCTTAGACAACATCAATAATGCATGAATGATGCATTATGTTTCTGCAGTTCGCGATCTTTCTTGCTGCATACGGAAGTGATACTGTGGTCGCTGATCAAAGCCTCATTCTGTCGGGCTAATGTTGTAACTCCTTTGAACTTCGTGTGGTATCATTCATTCATGGCTGTCGTCTGCTACTATGAAAACATCCCAATGACAAACCCAGCGCTGAAATCGCAGCCATCGACCAATGCATCCGTCGTGTATATCAACTGCCAATGACCGCAGTCCACGTATGTTCATGCAAAAGTATGTACACCTGAAGCATCATCTCATCGTCTTCTCGTAGTCCTCCTGGTGCCAACACCCTCGACGGGCATGTAGTCTGCCATAGTGACCTTCTCCTGGCTTTGCCTGCCGCCAGAAATCCTCTTGTTCCCTCCCATCATCCGGTCCATCATGACTTCGCGATGCCTCCGCGCCTCGGGGTTATCGTATTCCAGCTGTGTCGCGGGAGGCGGATTGTCCGCGTCCACTCCGCCCGGTTCCATGATCCCGTCCAGAAGCCCGCTGCCACCACTATGTGCGCTCTGTGTTGAATCCAGACGGTTTAGCATTGAGCCTGTTGCTGCGTTTGCTGACGACTCGGTGCTTCCACTCGATGCCGCAGATACGTTACTGGCCGCCCGGCCCAGGATATCTCGTTTTCGCCGTTGGGGCCTTGTGCCAGGTTGTGGCTTCAGACCAGTGCCCATTTGTACTGCCTCCTCGTGAGAGATGAGGGAGCCCAAACGTTTCGACATTTCTTCGCGCTCGAAGGCTTTCGCCTGTTCTTTGCGCTTGCGCTCTGCCGCCTCGTCTTCTACGACTGTCTCTTTGGGGGGTTGAGCTGTTGTTTCCAGGTCCTCGCCACCCTCCGAATCGCCAACTTCGCCCCCGGTGGGAAAACGTTTGAGCTTGCGTGCTTGGTGAGCCGTCTTTGGTAACGGTGATGGCGGCGACTTGTTGAGTGCGTTTGAAGTTACTTCAGCTAAGGGTGCAGTGCTGAACGCATTGTCCATGCTTTCCACCTGGTGTGTCGGAGCTGTCTCGTAATGTGATTCACCAGCTTCCTCCCTCTGTATGATCCTATTGTCTGCATCGAGTACTATAGGTCCATCATCGAATGCTGTCATATCAAGGCCACCCCTCGGTGGTGGCACCGGCACTTTGTTGTTTGACTTCGCGTTTCTAAGTGCGGGTTCGGACCTTGATCTCTGCAGTTGCTGGCATTCCTTCCTTTTCAACTTGTCAGATAAAGAGCCTGCTTTGGCCTGCAGGCCCTTGAACTGGTACTTCTCATGCGGCACAAGACAGCCCGTGGTAATGCATTGCCACAGCCAGTCGGCGTTGACAACTGGGATATTCGAGAGAGTCGCGATGTCGAGCTTTTGCTTCCTCACACTCTCGAGACTTGAACAAACGAGTAACGAGCTCTGAGCGTTTAGCCATTCCGAATATTTGGCTCCTAGCTGGACGATGGACTTTTCCACTTGATTCAGCTGTTCGTTGCGAAAACCGGCTGAACATATCGTCAAATCTTGAAAGCCGTCGATGGGGAAATGCGGAAATGGCTGTCCCAGGACGTGGTCGTATGGCGAAAAAAGTGTTTTATTGTGTATGCAACGCTCGATGAAGAATTCGGTGATGATGTGGACACCCTCTGGAAGTTGTGGGTGGGAGTCGGGTTGGGACAACTGTGGTACGAGAAGATAGCGCTGATATCGTGGCTCCCCGTGGGATAGCGACGCAACGTCTTCGAGTGACGTGGATATTTGACCCCCGTGTGACGCAAGGAACCCGGATACAAATTCCTCCCTAGGCCTAGGAAAGCCATGGACAAAGAAGCGACAGCCTGCGAATACTCCTTCACGGTGACTCGGAAGATCGTCAGTACGCGGTGGTGGCATTGACCCAACATCCTCGGTCGCAGGCGCAATAGAATCCGCCACTGGGACGCTGGGCGCGGTAGGTGCGCTCGGCTCTCGATGTTCGGTCATCGACTTTGACAGATCGGCGGATTGGTTCTGGTCAAGAATATCGCCCCATAGGCCATCTCTCTGGCTGTTCAATTTCATACTGGCACTTTTCCTCAGCTTCCTCCTCCCCTCTTCCGCCGCAGTGGAAGGACCCTCTCGCACTCGCTTCCGTGGGTGTATTTTCGGCGGCTGGTTCCTTGTCCAGGCATCCTTCCCTCGCTCTTCTAGGGGCAGAGTCGGATCGTAACACTCTTCGTTGAGTATCATGCCCCTTTCCACACTATCGTGCAACCATTCGATCGAAACGGTGCGTATTTCCCATTTCCGGGCGGCAGCGTATTTCTTGCCCTCGGGTTTGTTGACTATCAAGTGAGTGACTCGTCTAGAGAGATCACCAACGTATTCGCCCCCGTTGGCTCTGACCTTGTCCTCAATCATGCTGCGTATGTCATCTGTTACGGTCAGCTACCACGACACGGTATCCCAGGTGAGGCATCTGGGAGGCATACTGTCTTCAAACCCCGTCAAGCAACACACCAACCTCGACCTCTCGCGCGCTTCTGGTATTAGGCTGTTGGGGATACCCCCACGCGACTCGAATGTCTTTAATGTCCATTTGTTTTCCAGGGTGACAAAGTCGATCTGCTGGTCTTCCATCCATAAGGCTCGCACGGCGTCAACCCATCCAGCAGCCATAGGCTTGACGTCGTTCCTTCCCCTGGCAACATGGCGATACTTGGCCGTGTTGTAGTCTCCCACTATCAAGTGCGTAACGTCGGGTGTCAGATCGTATTTGTGGACGCCGCCCATGTCGGCGGTTCGCTGTGCGATTTCGGACTACAGGATGAAGGCACGTCAGCCAATGCACGCTCTCGTGATTCGGTCTGATATTGCAGGCATCGTTGGGTATTCGCAGTGTTCGCAGTGGTGGTGGTGGCCGTGGTGGGGTTGGCACTTACACGTTGATCGGCCTCGATGTTGGTACAGCAGAGGACTTGACCTCGGAATGGCTTGGACGAGTCGAAAGACCCTCCGCCGACGTCCAAAAGGGGCGGTGGCTCCATATTCGAGGTCAGTTTGAACACAAGCAAGGCATTGGAGGCGGTGTTGAGCAAAGCAAGGCGATATAGGATAGCAGACAGGCAGACGGCGAGATCAAAGAGCGCTGGAGTGGCGCGTCCAGTCGCGTCAAAGAGCTGATGCTATAAATTGAAATAATTGCGGGCCCCTTCGTCGCGTGTTCTGGGTTATCGCCGCAGCGCTAATTTAATTCAGAATTTCTATATATTGTACTTAACAAGGCCGTTGCCTCCGGCCAGCGTTTACAGGGCTGAGCACGTGGCTTAGGTCAGCTGTGGCGCTGTGGCTGCTCCTCCCATTGCCCATTTGAATTCAATGGTTACGCATCGTTCATGTTGCATGATGCATCATCCTGCGTGGTTCAACAATCCAGACTTGTGTGTTCTGGCTCAACTGAACTGAACGAAGGGCAACGACGACTTCGAGGGCATACGCTTTGCCTGTCTCTTGGCTTATAGTGCTGCGCTGCCTCTCCGCCTCAGCTTCTTCGGGTCTTCCCATCTGACGACTGGCACTACCTTCGCAGCTGGGGTCATGCTTCACCACTGTGCTGTCAAGGCCACCGATTTAGACCTCGAAGCCTCCGACTGAACTGGCGGAGCGGCCTGGTGAACAGGTATCCTCACATCCGTCTGGAGCCCTATCCGATCGGGGGGGACTGTACACTGCCGAGACTGGTTGAGCATGCAGGTAGGTTCCTACCTCATATCCACGAAAACTACGACTACCTGCCTTGTTCGCCTCACGGGACCCTACATGATTGCCTCTCATGCTGAGGCACGAACCGCAGTTCGGATGCCGTCATGTTGTCTGATCGTTATTAGGCTTGGCGCCTGGCCTTCTGGATATTATCCCTTGGGACGATACATACGCCCTGCATCACGCGTCATTGTCCTGCTTCGAAGACGCCGAGAATGGCCGAGCATATTCCCCCTTGCCTCGTCCTGATGCGCTATCACTACAACGACAGTCGCAGTGCGACTCTTTTCCCCGTTGGCAGTCGGAGCACTGGCACTATCTTAAGTCTAGATGAGCACTTCGTTATCTACAGCGACAGACTTGTGAAGTTGTGACCATTTCTTCTCGGCGAGACTCGGCTCCTCCGTGAACTCTCCTCGAGACGACCCATCCCGGAAGGATCATTTATTATTTGCACCGACTGCGGGCTTGTTTGAACGGTGCGTCACATCCGATACTATTCTCGGTGCTCCCACACGCTTGACATCATTTGCCTACGTAGTTTGGAACTAGGCCTTCTAGTTTGCTGACCTTCAGGCGACAACTGCACGTTTTAGCCGGCTGCCTCCCCGTTGGTTTCCAGCCGGTGTTTTGTGTATCGAGCGAGCTGCCTACTTCGTGCCAGGATGAGTTCTTTGTGCAGCGCGTGGCCGCCACCATCGGACGTCGCCCGTGAGAGTTCCAATCAACTTCCGGACCCCTTATTACACACACCAACCCTATCTGTGGCCATGCAGCGATAGGCAATTGGGTTCATTGGCTGTCCTGTATCTGCCACTTTGTCCACCGCATCGTGTTACCCCTCTGGGGAACCCGAAGATCTCGATACTATTGTTCACGGCGCCACCAAACCGCCCGGTTGCTTGGATGTGCAGGAGGCAGACTCTCCGGTCGACAAGCCGCCCGTACACAATGACCTGACACGCATCCGTGTATAGACGACTGCCAAGGCGGACCTGGACGCTTGTCTTCGAGTTGTCTCCCTCCCGTCCCTATCAATCCATTTTTCACGCCCCGATCTATGTCTTGCATTGCTCGCGCTACATCCTGGCGGAATGGCTGTGGCATCATTGTGTGACCACAGGCCCGACAAGCCGGTGTGCGAGGCTTTAGTACGTAAAATCACCGAGTCTGGATATATGTTGTATGTATGCTTCTGCGTAGCTGCTGGTCTACTCAAATGCAGCCTCACCACCCGTTACGCGTTAGTTGGCGCTTCAGCTCCATGTGGGTATTCGACCATATCCATACCAACAAAACCAAGGAAGCCCTGGGTTAGTCTCGTCTGGCGGACCTTGGCAGCTCTTCAAGACTGACCAAAATAAGCCCAAGGTCCCTTTGATTGACTCGAGGAAAACCTTTTCTTCATCACATCTCCATTACCCCGTGTTCGCCTACTGGGTGCTCTTCACACACCCGCCCATCCACCATGCCACGCTACACATCACCCTCACCAGCGACCTCACGCTCTTCGTCTCCATCGGGCCCCAGACGGAGCCGCTCCGCACAACCGGCGCGTCACCGACGTCGTCGCTCACCAACCCCCGAGGGCAGGACACATAAAGATGCCCTCAAGACCTCGCTAGTCTTCCTCGGCGCTGTCGGCGCTGCTTCGCTAGTCGCACAGAAATACTGGCCCAAGGGTTTCATATACGGCGAAGCAGAGCATTTTGAGGAGAAGGCCAAGAAGAAGGTCAATCAGATAAAGCATGCCGTTCTTGGCGACAGTCATGATGACGAACGAGAGCGCGGTCGGAGACGCAAGAGTACACATGAGCCTGACTACTACTCGGAGGACGACAGGTACCGAGAATGTGGTGGTCATCGCCAAAAAAGCCGTCTCGAGCTGGAGGGTCTTATGGGTACTTCTCTACCACCGGGCCGGCACCGGTATGCCGAGGGAGACAGAGGAAGACACCACGGTGACGGTGCTGGCCGTCGGAGCCGCCACGTCGATGATGACCGCTACGAACTGAGGGACATGAGATACACCGAGAGGCAGGCGCCGCGGCCCAGGAGGTACATGTCGGGTGACGATTCATACTAAGATACCCGGAGCTGAGGGAGGCATGGAGTTAGCGACGACGGTGGGATGCTATCATTCAACGAGTCATGACTAGACTGTCTGTGTAGGACGAAACTAAGCGATGGTTGATTCTTTTGAATAGTGAAGTACAGGCTTGAGTGTGTGTCGGTCGGGCTGCGTAGCCTGGTCGTCGAGCTCGCTGTGCTGTATGATTACATGTTACGTGCCATCTCATTGCCAGAACATGCCGTAAATAACGTAGCGCCATGTTCAATATTCTGTTTGTATCTAATCCAGTGAATTGCAATCTGTCCTGAGCCTTTTCTACGAGGGACTGCAAGACCTATGGTTTAACATACTCAAGAACCCTTCTAGGGGCAAGATGAAAACACATGTAAGAAGGAGCCATGGTGGCTAGGGCTGCACAGCCACAGCGCAGCCACGGACAGGCAGACACAAAGGTAGGTAGGTACATAGATCTGCCAGACAGACCATAGGTAGATCACAGAGAGAGATCATCAATCTATCACATAATTACCACCCATTTAGACGCCTACTAATGGTAGCATCTCTCATCGATAAGAGAGGTAATATAATGACCCCATCATTCCCATTCTGGCAGACAGCTGGTACGATATTTTTTTCCGTTGATTGAGCGTCTCGACTGATCATTCCTACCAGATACACGCTTCCGCTACCCCGAGAACCCCTCACCTCTACAAAACACCAGAAATCATCGTGACATCGTGACACCAGATTCAACAACACCCTTACGTTCCATGGACCCCAAAATCGAGCCAGACCTTTTTCCTCACGATGCTCAGTCCTGACACTTCAGGGATCTGATATCTCAGCCCCGGGCCCGAAATTTCTGCCAGATTACGGTGTTGTGCATGCTCTTAGTTTCGACTTCGTCGTATCACGACGCGTTGACGAAGCACTCGAAATACTGGGCCAGAGTTTACGATCCTGCATTAACCTTAAAATTACCACGACTAGAAGACAAGTATACACTTACCACACCAGGACCCCCGCGCTTGTTTGTTTGTTTGTTTGTTTTGTATTTAACGTGGGGGGTAGCTCCTCAGTAGTGCAAACCACGCCTCCCAGAGCCTCTGCATTGCAGGGTTGTGGAGGTCTCAAGATAATAAGTACAGTCAGTCCCGCTCACGGGCCCATCCCCGTTGTTGTGGCGGTATGACCTTGGGGTCATCCATCTGGTCCTTTAAGAAAAGCTATCTATCAGGGACAGATTATTAAAAAGAACTTGCTCTTCTCCACGAATTTTGCCCATTCTGTGCTCCTCTCTCCTAAGTATTATAAACAAGCTGTCCTAGGCGAGTACCTAGACAGCAACCGATTTTTCCCCAGCCTCTTACAAAAGAAAATATGTTGTGGTGTTTTTTTCTCACCACAACTGTAATGGTTATTCGAATCTGTATGCCCAAAGCGTTCATGGTATCTGGCAAAGTCGCCATGTCTAGATCTGGCCGCTAGAAGTCTGTGTAAAGTACTCCTCTTAAAAGATATCAGGTCTCTTTCAGTTACTATGTGTGAGTATACTTTTTGATATCTAAATTCTGATTGGTCTTTTTACCATTAATTGAACTCCTTTTTTCCCTTTTTTTTGAGATCTTTCTTGACCCAAGAGATTATAGGAAGGCTTGTTGTGTCTGTTTCCAGCATGGCATCCTCTTTTGTTAATGTGTCGGCAGCTTCATTGCTATCAATATCTCTGTGTCCAGGAATCCATTTGACGGTCACTCCAGGAGTGTGTGCTGTGGCAAGTTCTTGAAATCGTAGAAAAATATTCTGTGATGTCTCGGGTGGAGTCCTATTGAGCCCATCTACCATTGACGTGTTGTCCAGGCAGACATATAGCTGTTTTCTGTGTTTAATTGCCCTGGCTGCTACAAGACCTTGGAGAGCACCATAGACTTCAGCATCTATTATTTCTGCTTACAGAAGTCTACCCTTTCCCCGGTATATTTCTTGAGTAGTGTTGCCTTTCTTGATGGTGTAACCCCATCCAGTGCAGGTTGTACCTTAGTCAACCAATTATGATCCATCTGAGTAGATGACAAGGTCAGTGTTCACATTTCTCTCCTATAGCCATTGCTTGAAGAGCTCTGTTTCTTTGTCTTTGTCTTTATGGACTGGGGGCTTCTTCTATGATGGCCTGGTAAGTATTGGTCTCTGGAAGTCAGGGACTAGCTGGAAGCTCCTTTGTAGCCTTGTTGGATCCTTGCGGGCTTGTATTTGGAGCCTGCCAACAAGAGGGTGTCTCTGGTCTATTCGTCCTAGTCGGAGGCCGTGACGTCGTCGTATTGACTCTGCAAGAACTCCAGCTGGGGGAATCTGCGATTCAAAATATAGGATATGCCCAGGGTGTGTTTTCCAAACTGGCAAGATAACCCTGATCGCCGTTCGTAGTACAGCATCTATTGTCCCAAGAAGCCCCTTAATGCGACATGCTGATGTCTCACCTGAGCTCCTGATTTTTTTGATTCCTGGGTACCAGGTCTCCAGGCCGTGTGTAAGAATAGGAATAACACAAGCTTTCACAGCCCTCCTGGTTGATTTTACTGGGAGTCCCTTGACTGTGTTGCATAGTCCTCGAAGGTGATTTGCTACCCTACTAGCTTTCTTGACCCAGTGAGAAACATGAACTTTGAAGTTTAGTTTTCTATCCAGAAAGACACCTAGCCATCGCATAGAATGCTTAGTTATTTTGTTCATTATCCCGTGGCAGATTGGAGGGTTGTCTGAGTTCTTTTTTCGCGAGAAGTGCATGATCTCGGTTTTGTCGGGGTCAAACTCAATAGCATTATTGTGTCCCTATTGGTTGAGCAAATGAAGGTTTCTAGAAGCCTCTGTAGCTGTTTCCTCAAGGTTCCTTCCAATACAGAGAGTTGCTAGGTCGTCTGCATGACCCCCGCGCTAGTTTACAGCTCCGCGACAATGCATCCGTGACTTTGTCTGGGTGGTGAAAGGGGCAGACTGGTTGTGCGGTTGTCAGGCGAACAAATCCCTAGACTTCTTCTGTCCGCTCCCGCCCGAAGCAGAGCTTCGAGTCATGATGAGCAACTTCCACAAGGCGAAGCGGATCCAGGAGGTGGTACATGAATGCGTCACATGTTGTGCAGGTCATTTATTTCGAGGCCTCCCAGGAAGTGCGCTGCCCTTCACCGAAGTAGCTTATGTGCGGGGATGCCCACTGTGGAACCAAACATCAGCCGAGGCACCCTCTCAAGGCAAAGTCTTTCAGCTGCACTCTAACTGTGCATCATATTGCTCAGGCAATGGTCTGCAGGGTTACATCGTGGCTGCTTAGGAAAAAGGCAGCCGCTTTCTAGGTTACCTGATTGGAAATTAATAGAGTACAGCCTCAGCAGAAACGTTACGCAACAGAGCTGTTTTGGGGGCCAAATTTGGCCTGTCGCTTAAAGGTTTCCCCCCTTTTGGTCTCAATGTTTTCTCTTCGCATTTCTTAACAGCCTACCTACATCACCCTGGGAGACCATGAATCAACCGTTGCCTTTGAAAGCCCTCTTCTCGCATCAGTTCTCTTCGACTTGAACAATAGCGCAGCTACTGAAGGCGAATCTGCGGACACTAATCGAGGAGCACTCGGTTCCAAGTCGGTAGTCCAGGCGAAGCGCCTCCTGTGGTAGTCACAGTTCTTCCTCAATCGTCTCAAGGACGGCTCTGTCACCCAGCTCATGTAACTTTTTAATCGACGAACAGTCGTACCCCCCCGAGAAACTCGCACAATGGAGAACTCGGAGCTCCTACAGACGTGGAAAGAGGTTGAACTACGGGTGGCAGCGATGACCAACATGGGCGACACCGAAGTCAGGCGATGCCTCACAGTCGATGATGTTCTCTCAAGTCTGGACGAGACGCGAAGAACAAATAGCAAGGCGGCCGAGAAATATAGCACTGTGAGGTCTGTCTTCAGCAAGACCCTCATGTGCATTGAAACTATTGGTGGATTTGTTGCTTCTGGAGTATCGACTGTGAGTGGTTTCGGTTGCTCCTGCGGCATGGCAAGGCCCAACATGGTTCCCTTACGTTGCGATACCTCGATATATGGGCATTGAAGCCAGACTAACCGATAGGCAGGTCTTTCCACCAGCCAGCACCTGTTTCAAGGCTTTGATTTTCGTAATCCAGGCTTGGAGGGACTGTGAAGGGATCTTCAATACCCTCGGGGAACTTCTGGAGAAATGCACCTATTTCCTCGATCGTCTCAGCTGCTACAGGGGGGCCATGGATCAGAAGCTCACTCGTGTCGCATGTCTGAATCTCAGACTCTTCGTCAAGATACTCGAACAGACCCTCGAGATGAAGAAAAAGCGCCATTGGGTAAAGCGCTTATCGAAGCTCGCGTTTCTGTAGGATGACGGTGTTTCAGATCTGTTGACCGAGATGAAGACGTTGAGTGAGAGAGAACTAGGCTATGTTGCCGCTCTCACATTCAAATCTAGCAACGAGGCAGCCTCGCACTCCAGGGACATCCTCGCAGTGGCACTCAAACAAGAGCCCAAGATAGACTCTCTTGTAGAAGACAAGAAGGAGCAGAGACAGGACAGGGAATAAGAAAGCGAAAACAGGCCGTCGAGAAGATATTGGAGCTCGAGCCCGCCGTTATCAGCGACAACCCCTGGGAGAAGACGTGGCAGAGGCACAAGGTTCAACTCATCGAGGGCAGCGGTGACTGGCTTGACGATCATGCCCTTTTCGCCTCGTGGGTCAAAGGATCCGATCAAGTCAAACCGATTCTTGGCCTACAGGGGAAGACTGGCGCCGGTAGGACCCTTCTTGCTACCAACGTCATCATGCGCCTTAGAAAACTCAGAGGCGTCAAAGGCTCTGCCGCCAGGTCCGCGGTGGCGCACTACTTTCTTGAGTCTGACTCCCAAGGTCTCGCCCGACAAACGTGATGCTGTGGACGTCCTCTCGAAAAGCCTGCTCTGGCAGCTTTGGGAAGCTGACGAGCCTTTCCTGAAGTCAATGGCTGATGTTGGTGAAAAGTCGGGTGTATTCGAGAACCACGTCGACATGTGGACTCAGCTGCTCTTCGAGAACGACGATCGGTCAAGCATCGATATCACTTTCTTCCTCGTTATAGACGGGCTTGGCAAGAATGTCAAGGACTTGACCAAGCTCTTGCATATGGTATCGGTCAATGTAGCTCGCCACAGGACGCGTCTCCTCGATTACGGGCGATCAGGAGACATTCAAGCTGGTGGACCAGGTTGAAGGAATACAATACGACAAGATCACGCTTGGGGAGACGAACAAGAAAGACATCGAACTATACATCAATCAACGAATGAACCACATTGAGACCCTCATGGACGAGAAAAATGCGCATGTCAGGCAAGAGATCATCAAGGCTTTGACAGAGAGTACAGATGGGGACTACTATGAGATCGGAAGCGCTCTCGACAAGATTTCGAAGACAGACGATCCCGCCACGATCAACGAGTATCTGAAAGACGCGGGGAAGCAACGCCCCGAATTGATCGATGCCCAGATTGAGAACCTCAATCAAACTCTGGATGCGAAAGGAACCGGAGAGATCAACGAAATGATTCTTTGGGTTGACTATAGCTACGAATGGCAGAACTTGGGTGAGATGGAGGCCATGTTGGTATTACGCACTGACAAAGCATCGTCTGCTGGACTTTTGTCGCTCGAGTCCAAGATCCGGCTGAAAAAGTACTCTTTATTCTCTGTCGACAACCAAGGCCTCATTGATTACACGGTGACGGAAATCCGGGAGCAAATCCCTGACCGAAAAGCTGCACTGGACGATACTTACAATGGCGGTGTCAAGGAAATACTACCAGCGGAGGTCAACCTGGTCAAGCACTACCTCTCTACTGTTTGCCCTGCGGATGTCTACGAAAAGTTCGGCTTCGACGAGTTTTTCGACCGCAAGATGATTCGTCGAGCGAATTCAATATGGAGGGACCGGGACAATGCACATATTACGATTGCTCTGAGATGCATGGCATGTATTGAGGAGCCGCGAACGGAGAAGACGGAGAAGCTGCAACGATACGCAGTAGACCAGCTGTGCTATCACCTGCGCGATACTGTCCTTCCCCTGGCTGATCGGACCCTGAAGCGGAAAGCTAGCGCTATGCTGGCGAGGCTGTTCACTGACGAATATGCTGTCGAATCCCTCTTCAGGCTCAGTTCCGCTACTGAAGATGCAGAACTTGACAGTCTTGACTACGGCACTGACATGATACCCGAAAGCTTCCACTGCTGGGTAATGTCAAATCAAGGAGCCCAGATAGTGGGGACGTGGTTCAAGGATGCCGCGGTCATCCAAGGCATTGAAGATACACCTTTTGTGGCTTCACTGAACTCTGCCGGTGAAGATCGCCACAAGGTCCTATTCGACCTTGCGTCGAGAAAGGCCGCGACATGTCTGTTCAGGGTAGAGGCAGGAAGGCATGAAATGCTCCGTGCTTTCATCTTCCTTGCTGGGTTCTTAACAAAGGTATGTGATGAAATGCACAAGTTTTACCCTGCCTTGGTAACTAACATTAGCAAGAGAAACGGGAAAGGCCGGAGAATTCCGATTCCAAGGGCCTAGAGGATATTCTTATCCCAACTCTAGATTTGTCTCCCAGGTCGAGGACTGGTCAAGGAAAGCTCTTGACATAGTGGATGTGGATTCGCTTTGGGAAGCTCAAGTGGCGGCTTTGCTACTATACCTTGAGGGTGAAACTATCACCAAGAAAGACTCTGAAGCTCGAGCTCGAACAGCCATGGCCCTCGATTCACGAAACTGGAGAGCGGCATACATCCTTGCCCAAGTCGTCCAGTCCAACGAGGAATCTGTGTCACTTCTCAGTTCCACCATCGAGGATCTAATGAAGAACAACGAGTGGCGCACAGTGCATAAGAATAGCCGACACTTGGCGAAAATGATACTTGACTTGGGAGACAAACACTGGGCAAGTGATGATGGAAGCAAACTCGCTTCCGACGCTTATTTGAGAAGCCTTGAAATGGGTCATTCATCACCTGCACTTCTCCGGAAGTATTTCGCCATCCTCGAGCAATACGGAGGCCGTCGCGATTGGGAAGCCATCGTTCTGTTTCTGGAGAAGATGCTGCAGATGTCACAGCCAGTAGACATTGCTGGAAATTTCGGTTGCCTGAATATAACGGACAACGATGCCGGATTCAACACACTCTTCGTCAGCTTGGTAAAGAACACCGAACGCTGGGACTTTCTTAATGTTGTCTACGAGAAAGCCTTCATCGCTGCCCGAACATTCTACCAGAGATGTCTGGTTCGACTCTCCCATGGTTTTGCCTCCAACAGATCGGGTTACCAAGATAGCGCCATAAAGATATGGGAATCGGTCTTGAGCGAAGTACCTGAAAAGGTCGAAGTATTTTGCAGACCGTGGGTGTTCGAAATCGTATCTAATCGTCTAGTGGCGTCGTACATGGAGAAAGCCTTCAAGATGGGCTTGGATTCAGAAACGGTCCAGACGTATTATGGCAAGATCGAGTCTCTCCACGCCCAACTCGAAGCACTCACCACAGATTCTCACTTGCGCGGAATCAGGCCGCCTTTGCCGTACGCCAGGTACTTCCACCTTCGTGGTGATGAAGCACGGGCCAAGGAAATCTTGAAGACCTCGAGCGCCCAAAACCTCGAAATGCTGTCTGATGATAGCCTTGAGAATGATTATGAAGCATACTGGGACCTTGGCACGATCTTTTCGACCCTGGATGACATACCGAACGCCCTCGTTGCCTGGGAGATGATGGCTCGGTCGCGCCAGGCCGAGTATGCTGAGTATGTCCGAAAGAAACAGCTGTGGGACGGTAGAGTAAAGCTGCGCAGCAAGCAGGGCCGTGACGGTTCCACAATGGTCGAGGGCGTCCAGGATTCTGGGTCTCATCAAGACACGGAAGCCCCAGATGGGCAAAAAGCTGAGAGTGGACCGGCGAGCCAAGAACCGTCCGAAGACTTGGTAGAGCCGGAACTGGCGATTGCTGGTGTGACGCCTGCGGCCATGACTTCCTGGTCGCGAGTGAGCTGTGGACATGCAAGGACGAGTGTGGAAACGTCAACCTTAATCAAGGCTGCTACCAAAAATTGCAGGATGGCACTTTGGATGTCAGAGTGTGTGACAAGAGCCACGACATGTACTACATTCCTAAGAGAGAGGAGAAGCAGCATGACGCTGCGGCCGAAAGTCAGGTAGTTGTGAATGGTGAGGAGATGGATCTGGAGGCTTGGAAGGTGAGAATCAAGGCGAAGTACGTGGATTTCGGGGATGACAGCACACTATAGGGACGATGACGAGGAGCCATGACAACCAAGGACCGAGACCAGAATTTCCATTGCCGAGACAATCCCCCTGCACCGAGAGATCCTCTTCGTTTCCATCGCCTGCCTGGCGCAGCCGTTAGACGGCTCTAGGCCGAAGAGCATTCGTCTAGGGCAGGGTGATGGGAACCTCAGTACGGGCTCGTTTCCGCAGTTCAATGGCAATCCATGGCGCCGTTTCATCTTCCCAAGTGAAAGGGGACTGCGATTATGTCGAGCCTAGTGTCACTGAGTCGGGGAATCGCTGTCAGAGTAACATGGACGACACGGAAGGTGTACCGCCATATCCATGCCAGAAAATGTTATCTCGAATTGGTACCAGTCTGATTCTAGTGGTTGATGTCTATGAGTTTTCTCTATCCCCTCCAAAACATTGCAATGCGCATCATGCTCTCTACACCGTCGTTGACATGCGGCCTCCTCAATGACCAAAGCCGTTCTGGTGCCCGTTGCCGTTGCGATGGGCCTTGCCATTAGCGAAGCCGTTGTGAACCACAGACGACAGATCAACATCCTCCTGCCCACTCAGCCACTGGCCCATCTTCTCGTAGATGTCAATCCACAAGCGATGAGCAGGTCCCGACTCCTGGCCCTGGATAGTCGGCAGGAACTCGTCGATCTCGTGTCCGAGCATCTTCTGTGCGGCGCCGAGATAGCGGTAGCCCTCCGGGTACCTCTCGAGGGCCTCCCTGGAGAACGAGGGCACGTTCTTGCCGTCGACTGGGAGGACCTTGTCCTTGTCGTAGATCAGCTTGACGTACTTGACCTTCCACGCGGTCGAGTGCGGCTCCTGGAAGCAGAAGAAGTGGAAGCGGCAGTCGCAGTCGATGTCGAAGACGACGGGCTCGATGCCCTTGGTCGCGTCCCCCTCGATGATGAACCGCTGCGTGATGGTGGCCTTCATCTTGCCGACTGCGCGGCCGGTCGACGGGTTGAGGTCGACCAGCGTGCCGCATTCGCGATGCATGATGAAGTCGCCGTTGGCCTTGCCGGCTTTCGACACCTGGATGAAGTTGTCGATGCTCTGGCGTTTGCTCCAGGCTGATGGCGGGTTAGCACGTACAGCCAAAGCAAGGTGCGCCACTCACTGGTCCAGACGTAGGCGTCGTCGCAGAAGAGGGAGCGGAAGTTCTTCCACTCAGAAGCATCGCGGTAGACGGGCCATCCCTTGCACAGCTCTGAGATGGCCAGTCGGTCGAACAGGTCGTTCTGTTGGCCGTTGATGTGCGTGTACACCTTGGTCTGGGGGTCGATCGGAGAAGTCATCTTGGACTATGTTAGGGGATCTTTCTGATATGAAGTCGACGCTCAGGCGATGAAACCGTGCACTGCTCTGATAAAGTGGAAAAGAAAAGGCCAAGGTCAAGGAGTGTAAGTCCGAATGAAACTTGGGAAACATATTCTCTGGTGAACGACAAGACTCGGGAAGATTATATAGATGTCTGAGACTCTGAGATGCACGTCGTACAAGAGCCCGCCATTCACGTCCCATTTTCTTCTCCGCCGACAAACGGCAGAGTGATTACGTCGGCCTACCATGGTCCCTTCGGCTGAAACGTCGCTGAGAGTGTTTGGCACTGGGAGTTTGAGTCGATGCAAACATCTCAGACTCCACCAAGGCAAGCACCTATGCGTACCGTCCCGTGATATCAGTCGATATTTCATCATATAACGGCGACAGCACCAGTGGGGAGGCTCTCCATCAGGAATAAGCGGACTTCCCGTGCCTTATGTTGGCAAACCGGGCCCGCCCATCGACACGTGTCTCGACTCTCGCGCGACAATCCTATCGGCTTTCTGCATCTGGCCGTCTCAGGATTCGATCGATCCCGAAACGGAAATTCATGGGCAGGAAGCAGAGTTCCGTCTGGTTGCACGCGTAGAAGTTTGTGCCCTTTCGGTCGAAGAAGCCACTAGTTCCCGTGCAGGGGTCGGCTCGTGGAATGTGACATCTGACATCGGTCCACGACGTTCGTAAGTGCGAGGTCGGCGCGGCAGGCCGCATTGCCGCTGCAGGCTGGCGTTACCGGCATGCGAGTATGCTTTGTTGGAAGATTGGATGATACGTTCGAGGGCGGTCTACCTCATGAGAAGTGCTGGGATGTTGACGCAACGTCTCACAATACGACAGGTCAATAGACCGCCAATTTCAGCGGGGAGAGTCTACCATGCTCTGGGCCATGATAACCGAGACGCATGAATCGCGTGTACTGGGGGACAGCCTATCTCCATGACACGAGGCAAAGCTGGCCCGTGTCTAGGGTCTTATCAAGTCTAGCTCGCGGGATGTGGTTGATGTCTGCGTTGTGAGGATTTCCCGTAACACGAGAATTTCATGTAACACATGGAATTAGCAGATAGCAAGTTCCGTGCTTGTGCGTTCCCTTCTGGCATGTGCTCGTGCACAGTGATACTATGTACCAGTGTTACCGACTTGTGACTCCTCATAAAACCCGTTGAGCTCGGCCGTGCAGTAGCCGCAACGATGGGTAGTACGGTTTCAAGTGATAACCGGGAAAGCCTTGTGGATATCAACAAGAAAATAAGTCTACGCGCTGCAGCAGGTGATGGATTTGGATGTGGCCGTATCATCATCTGAATTTTCACATGGGACACGAGAGAAACCTGGTACATCGTGTCACGGTGCACATACAAGAGAATCTGGACCATGTAGCGGAAGATGCCAGTGTAAATTATTAATGAAAGTGCCGTATCAGAAATCAGATTTCGCAAATATCACAAAACAACCCCCTGATTGAACCTTTCAGCATCTCCTCCCGGAAGCACAGTTTCCCAAGGCCGCACCATCCTAGTAATCTTGCATGTCCGTGCAACGGGCCTCCTTCCCTTGCATATGACGAAGACGGAGACAGTGAAGCTCGGCTTGCAGGATCTCGATGTTCTCTTCCATCTGCCGAATCGACCGGCCGCGGGGCGGGGGGGGGCATACGGCGGAGGGTGCGGGACGGGGCCTGGGGGCGGACCGAGTTTCCCGGGGTTGACGTTGGCATGTTCTCCATTGACGGCGGCACCGGGATCACGGATTGATTGCTTCGAGCCTGTATCGATTGATTCTGTAGGCTCGGAAGCTTCGGGCAATACCGAACCAGCGATTTCATAGTCCCAGTTGTTCTTGCGTGGCCCCCCCGTGGGCGGCCGTCCGGGCACAGGCCTACCAGGACGTGGCCCGCCAGTGCCGCCACGTGTTCGGGTATAGCCCCCGTCATCGAGAGTCAAATACCGTACCATGTTGCCCAGGGAGTCGGCGCTCGAGGAGGAACTAGGACTGTCCGGTTTGACGGCGAGAACGTCGGCGCCGGGGCGAAGAGGGGCTTTGAACTGGGATGACGCATCGTCTTCCATCAGCAGTTAGCGAATGTCTCTGTCATATTCTTCATCAATAATATTGATCTTCTTGAACGTTGAGAGGCATAGTCTCTCGAAAAGCTACGCTCTAGCTGGATCGACAACTACGCGGTACTCTCCAGGGTTGATCCGGGTCAACGCCATCTTGAGGATAATCGGTGTGCAAGTAGTATCCTTGTTTGAGATGGTATATCGGGATGATGAGGTGTTGTCTTCTCTGGTGTATACCATCCCCGCCCTACTTCTCGTACACCCCCACATCTCGTACAGCCAAACCCCACTATCACCACTAAAACACCCCATTCTACACCTATACGTAACTGAGGCTATTCACATTGTATAAGTTTAGCAAAATTACTATAAGTAAAAGAATGATACGGCTTCAAAACGATAGACACCTTAAAGCCGTAACATAAGGCAGTGGAAAGTTATAATAGATTTAGCCCGAGGTCTATGACGACCTTGTTTCCCATACAAATTGTACGGAGGACTAGATCTTACGCGACCGTAAATAATACAAGAAATAAAATACTTAGAAATAAACGGCTTTGAAATATTACATACTAACTTAAATAAATATATACGTACGAAGTTTTATATATATAGACCTTATATGTTAAAAGCTACAAAAAAGTGGTCGTTATATATAATAGTTTTATATGGGAGTGTACGAGATGTGGGAGTGTACAAGATGTAGGGGTGTACAAGACGTTAGTGGAGAATGGTAAATGGAATAGGTGTCACGAAGCGTAAATATGGAATGGACGTAACAGTCCTGCTTTCACTACGTACGTGTAAGAATCTCTCGGTGAAGAGGGAAAGAAGGATCTGGCCCACCAGCTAATCTAGTAGCAGTTAAGGCAACACGTCCTGTGCGCCAGATCACCTGATGCAGCGCACTGACCACTGCAGATGGGGTGTCAGACCTGATGGGAGGTCAGACTATCACAACCCCCCACGCACAAAAAGACTCGCCTCGAGTCTGGATCGAACCCCTCCTCTCCCGCTGCGGAGGCAAATGCACATATAAAACCTCCTGACACAACTGTGAACACCACATTGCTCGTGATAGCCTCAACTTGTGATACACATACAATGCCAAATTTGACGTATTTTTCATCGTGAAGTCAGCCGCGACGACGCATTCCTGATCTCGTTATCCTGGCCGGCTTGTCATCGTCAGGATGCGGTGGGTTGAACTCGTCACTCTGAGCCGCCTGAAGCCAGTGTTCGAGACGTGCCGGCGGGCTAGCAGCATCGGGGTACTCGTCATGATAAGCCTTCAGAAGTTCCGCTGAATTCTTGAAGTCGCTAGCAGGGCACCAAAGCCCATCAGGGTCCCATCCTTTCCAGAGGATTTGGTATTGAAGCTTGTTGTAGTGAAGCCGCGAGGTAAGGACACTCGTGAGCTCCCATTCCTCTTCTCCAAGGTTAGGATCAACGATCACGCTGTCAGGTTCGTCAGGGGCTTGACCCGGCACCGGGTTATTCGCGTACTTGCGCAGACGATCAGCGTGGAACCACTCGAGCCTCGCCACTGATCGGATAGCTACAACTTGAACGTGTTCGGTCGATCGGTGGGCTCGTGTGTGATCTCGTAATGCTAACGAGTCATCGGATAGTCGAGCTTATCACTGGTGCGGTCCGTCATGGTTCTTGTCTTCTTGATGATATAGACGTGATCACTAACGCCAAAGTCAGGCACGCGATAATGCTTGTTCGCTTATTACACTATTCGTTTCTGAGCCTTCTTGATGGCGCCCTGGGCGTATTCTGCCCACGTCTGGATCTGACGAGCCATCTCCTGAGCCTCGGATCTGGTGAGGCGTTCTTGCTTGGGGAGCTTTGCAAGTACTTTGGTACGTGCTTCCCAGTCAAATGACATCTTCATTGGTCGTCTGGTCAGTACTTCACGGGGTGAGAGACCGCCTAACGATTCGTGGAGCAAGGAGACCTGAGCGGCATCCATGGCTGGGATGGCTCTGGCCTAGTTGTCTTGAAAATGGTTGACAAATGGTCACAAATGTTGGTCAATGTACTCGTTCATTATCTCCACCTGGCCAACGGACTGTTTGTGACCTGCTGATGAAAACTCTAGCTTAGTACCGTGGATCTTTGACAACCGGTCGATAATGACAAACAAGTTGTTATATCCATCCTTGTCTTTCGGTATGGTCTTGAAATCGATTATCAGGTCCTACTAAGTTCCATCTAGAACCAGAAGAGGAGTCAACAGCCCTGGAGTCTTGTCACGAGGGTTCTTTGATAGCTTGCATGTACAGTTCTCGACGTATTGGATAACAAAGGCATTAAGGTTTGGCCACCAGTATTGCTCAGCAACCATCTGACAAGTCTTGTTGATCCCAGGGTAGGCCGTCGCCAGCGATACGTGGGCTTCTGTAACGACGCGAGTACAAAGCTTGTTCGAGTCATGAACAACAAGACAACCACGGAAGAGCACAAGCTCTCCGGACATGGTCCGGTCAATGCTTGAGCCATTGCCTGCCTTCCCTTGATATTCATTAAAGGACGTATCTTCCTTATTGGCACGCAGTAGTTTGTTTATCAACATAATATCCGAGAATTCAGGGGACTGGCGTCGTCAAGGACAAAGATCTCTGTTACTTGTATGGGGAGATCGTCGAGAGGCTGGTCATGGTGCACTGAGGCAACTGGGGTATTGAACGCGTGGATATATGATACTGACGTAACAGGTTTAAACAGGGTCATCGTCCGTTGATCATCTCGTATCTGTTTCTGGGTGTTGACGTCGCTCTGTAGACGAGATAGCGCGTCAGCCACGGTGTTCTTTGATCCTGGCCTGTAAGTAATCACGAAGTTGTATTATGAGACCAACTCCTGCCAATTGGCTTGTCAGAGGTTGAGTACACGTTTAGTACTAAAGTATTCCAAGGCTGAGTGATCTGTAACGACAGTGAACGGGCGATCCGATCAATTCGGGTCTCCAGATCCTCAGTGCCTTGATCACTGCAAACAGTTCCTTGCCGTGTATGCCGTAATTAAGCTCCACGCCTTGTAACCTCTCCGAGAAGAAGGCCACAGGATGCCACGGCTCATTGGGGAATGCTCGCTGGTACATCGTTCCGGCGACGACACCATCAGAGGCGTCAGTCTCAACCAGCGTCTCGCGATTCTATGAGAAGTGCTTCAGTACTGGGGCCGTCAGCAAGGCCTGTTTTAGATCATCGAAAGCGGCTTGGCACTCCCCGTCCACACAAGGTCAGAATCGCTTTGGATAAGTTTGGTAAGTGGTTTTGCGATTTGGCCATAGTCTTTGATAAACTTGCGATAAAAGTTACAGAACACAAGGAAGGAACGTACACCCTTGATCGATGTCTTTCTATTAGCCACAGGGATGTCCCAATTGCGTACAACCTCAATCTTGTCAGGGCCACAAGTGAGTCCGTTAATACAAATAATAAAGCCGAGGAACTTGGTTTTAGTGACATAAAATTTGCACTTATCCAGGTCGGCCTGTAATCCGGCTTCACAAAGTCGATCAAGGACCTTACAAACGTGTTTCTCATGATCCTTTTCGTTGTCAGAGAAGATCAGAATGTCATCGATATAAGCTGTGCAGAACTCGTCAAGATATCCGCGGAAGGTGTCATTGATATATCGCTGGAAGGTCGATGGACCATTGGTAAGACCAAAGGGTAACACCTTGTATCGGTACGCACCGTACTGAGTACGAAAGGTCATGATATCTTCATTGCCTTCGACGATTCGGATCTTATGAAAGGCCTGGCGGATGTCTATCTTGGTAAAGATCTTGGCCTGGCCAAGTCGGGAGATGGTCTCCTTAATGAGGGGGAGCGGATAGCGATCCTTCTGAGTGATAGCATTCAGTTTGCGGTAGTCAACACAGAGTTGGAGGCCTCTATTAGCCTTCTGCACACAGAGGATAGGGGCAGCCCATAGAGCAGACGACGGCTCAATGAAGCCTTTCTTCAGGTTGTCAATGATATATTTTTGGCACGCTTCCATCTCTTCCAGAGACATCTTGTATAGTGGCAAATAACCTAAACTCTCAGGGTCGGCAGTAAGGTCAATCTTGTGGTCTATTCCAGCCGATAAGGAGAGAGCTTGTCGGATTGGACCTTACTAAAGACGTCAAGATGTTCATAGTGCTGCTTCGGTACCAGCTTGTGTGCCTTGCGTCTGAGATCATTATCATCTTCTGCCAGCATCGTTTGCTTATGATTGATAACGCGATTGATCTTGAATAAGGTAGTAACACCATCCTGAGTACCCTCTTCAGCCTTAACTCGATCGAAGAGCACAGAACCGACCATGGCCACCTTGAGGGGGCGATGACGGTACCAGCCGATTCTGTCTCTTCTCATTACATATGGACCCTGGGCGTCATGTTGAACTTGTACCGATATGGATGGCTTATGACGATCTCGGACAGGTATGTACGGTGTTGTTGGTGAGGGCTGTCGCGACTCGTCGTCATAGAAATCATAGTCAAGCAGTTCGTACATCCGCTCTGTAGCTGTAGGACTCTGCGATAGTTATTACGTTAGGGCTGAAGGATAACTGGAGTAACGACCTTTCCAAAAAGGGAATCATTATTCACCTGATCTCTTAAAGTTCTGCAATCTGTCATGGCTGGATGATTGTGACTTAGCTGCTCGATTTGAGCGCGTATAAGGCTCAGATCAACTCCTTCTAAGAGGGTTTCTGTTCCTTTACGATTAGAATGGTCAAGGCGTTCGGGGATCTCTTCCACTGTTGGAGTGCGGTAATCAGACGGGATCACTGTGACTAGACCGAAGCGTACGCGTTGGGAATTGCGGCGGCGTTTATCGTTGGTTTCCATTAGTTTGTCACGTCTGGCGGCATCCTGATCGTATGCGGGATCTTTGAGCAGGGATCCTGCTGAGTCCATAGGAATCTCAGGCAACGCGCAATAGTCAGGTGCTCATTTGTCTGGAAATAACAAGCGTTTCCGGAGAGAGTCGACTAGAACATCGTGTCTGTCAAAGAACTTCTTGCCGACTATCACGTCGTGCTTCATGTTAACTACCAGCAAGGGTACGTCGTATACCATCCGACCTTGTATACAGAAATAGGCTCAGAGGGCCACGTCGATAGTCTATGTGGACCTGCCATCGTATCCAGTTACTGGAGCGGGTTTGAATCCCTGGATCCTCTCTGCACAGAGGTGCTTAAAGACTTTAGAAGCGAATGGCAAGTTTATCAGTATATATGCACCTGCACCTGTGTCAGCAATCCATTAGTAAAGGGTCTCTCCCCAGAATCTAGGAGGGGAAATCAGTGGGTATTTTCCTGCAAGTATCAATGTCCAGCGCCGAAATCAGATGTGGTCCCCTAGGTTGGGTGTCAGGTTAACCCAGGGTTAGACTTTTCCCTCTGCGGCAGCCAGGGCGGTAGTGGTGGAACCTCCAGTCGTAGGATTGAACAAATTCACAGAAATAGCATTAATACGAGCCTTGTTTTGTTTCTCGAAGTCGTTCCTAACGGGACACTTAGAGCTCCGGTGGCCATGTTCATGACAAATAAAGTACTGTCCCTTTGCGATCAGAGCCTTAATTTGCCTCAGCTGAGGCTTCTTGTACATCTTGCGGCCATCAGAAGCAGTACCAAGGACTAGGAGGTTATAATGCTTGACCGTTCTAAAGGCAGGGCAACCATCAGAGAAACCTCCAGGGGCAGGGTTCAGAGTTTGATTGTGAGGGGGGTACAAATTGCCTCCTCTGCCACTATTGTTCTTTGGGGAATTGGTGTTCTGCGCTTGACCTTAAGAGGTGTCGTTCTTTCGTATTTGGGCAATTAGGAAGTTCTTGCGTTATTGATAATTATGTCACTGGACATACAAACAGAGGTCGTTGTAGCTGACCGTCTTGTCATGATACTTGTCAAGGCAAGCGGTGTTGAGACGACCCGGGAGTCGCTTGAACAACTCCTCCTTCTAAGTCGACTTCTCCTTCTTGGCCATCCCAGCCAGTCTCACGAACTCAAGTTGGAAGTCCTTGAAGTCTATGCTGGTAATTATCTCGAGCTTGTTGAATTTCTCTTAGCTTCGTCCTGTTCGTTGAGATCTTTGTATTGCTCGTGTAGGTGATCCAGAACCTCCTTGCTAGTCTTAAAGACGGATTCTCTAGTGACTTCGTCTGGGTTGACAAAGGGCATCAAGCGGGACGACGCAGTGCCACCCAGATGAGTGAGGAGATACATGATCTTGTCATCATCAGTAGGGAAGTGGTTGGCGTTACTCACGAGCTTCTTTTTGAGGATCAAAAACCACTGATCAAACTTGACAATAGGCTTGTCCTTCTCGATAGGGCGGTCACCAAAAAAAATGGGGAGATCTTTCTATTTAGGCGAAAGGCGAGGACCTCTTCCAGGTCAAGTCGAGTCAGGGGTTCCTTCTCGACCGGCCATGTTAATGACTTTGCTTTGGAGAACTTGTTGTTGAATACACAGATGATGATTGATTCTATTGATTGTTGTGCTCTGTGTGCAGAGATTGATGATCTGTCTTCTTGGTGGGTCAGATGCCCTGTGCGTCTCTGCCCCAAAGGAGATCTTCCGATATTTATCTTCGGCTCCTATTCAACAACATCCGTGTATTCAACAGCTTTTTCAATAATTTTACTAATAATATAATACTTTGATTTAAGTATTAATTGAACTATGATATTTAAGACGTTTAAAAACTATAAGATAAAAAATTTCTTTTATTAAAGGTCGATTTGGCGCTTTTTTAACCCTATTAACGTATTTAATATTATAATATCTCAAAAAAAGGATAAGGTTTTTTAGCTTACTAATAAATATTTTAAGATATTTAAAACGTTTATAGCATATATTTAAGTTTTATATAGGTTGAAAGTG